GGCATGCGACCGGACCACAACAAACACAAGTAGGTCTCGAGTAAGTGCCCACTTTCACGTCTAAGGCGACCATACCTTCGAACTTGACGTCTTTCCGCCGAAATCGAAATCATAATGTTGTGCTTGACTAAGTCTTTTAGCTCAATACCAAATTTCTTTAGCATAGTCATTGGCAGGATATTCACTCGCCGCTCCACCATCGACGAGGACTCTATTCACCATCCGTCCTTGAATCTCGATGTTCAGCAATAATGGTTTCAAGTGGAACCTCATTTCCTCGATGGGGATCAATGAAAGCAGCGTCCCTATGAGGAACTTCACATGAGGTTTGTGTTACCCATGTTATTTTTGGCCTTATGTTTTCCGAATAGAAGTCACCTTCCCGCTCGACATCTATTTGTTCTTGATATTCTTTATATTCGCTCACATATTCCGCAGTAAAATTGATATTACCCCGATCCGATGTTCGTCCCAAGTACCATCATCCTTGTCATCGAAAAATTCTCTTGTATAATGACTCTCTATTGGTGCAACATTTCCTTCAAAGTTTCGTAATTATTCCAATAGGGGATCCTTCCTCCTCTTCTCCAGGGCCTTCCTCGAATCTTCTTTGGAATGTTGGGAATCTAGTGGTCGATCCATCATCATACGAGAGTCTTTCGAAGACATCATTACTTTGAAGTCTACCTCTTCCTCCTCGAGAAGGATACATCTCTCTTCTAATCCACTCGCCTCGATTTTCACTAACACCGGAGCCAACGGATTTCGCCGACTTTCTTCGATCATTGGTCTGACTCGTTTGATCTACTTTGTCATTTTTCCTTTTATTTTGGTTTTCGATCTTCCTCATCTCGTTCGTTCGAAAGCTTTGGCACCGATTTATCGAACACCGCGCCGCATCGTGGGCATAATGACACATCTTCGTCTTTTTCCTTCTTTCTATTCAAAAATTCGATGAGAGAATCTCCTGATCGAGGGTATATTTCCTTTTCAAACTCTTTCTCGAATTCACTCATGTCAAATTCCATATCTTCTTCGATACATCCATCCGGACATGCTTAGGATCGATGTCTTCAGTGACATCTACCATGCCTACAAAGGCCGAATGTGTTAATCGGACATCATCAGCAATGCCTGTTTGGGATTCGAGGTATCCTACTTGAGCCTCGAATGGACTCGTGTCAACTTTCATTGTCATTTCTTCGAACTTCAATCTTCCTTGGTCGATCGCATCTTGGATGGTGTTCCCGAAATGTATACAATTGTTAGTCCAATGTCCATAAACATTATGAAATTTGCAATATTTTCGACCATTCCTTTGTTCTCGCAGATGGCGCTTTATGATCATCACTCAACTTAATCTGTTTGTCTTTCAATAAAATATCAAAGATTTTGTCTCGCTTTTGTTACATCAAAAGTATATGTTCGATCTGCCATTTTATCTTTTACTTCATTCTTTTGCAACAATTTACGTGTATATGGAACCCCCACTTTGAGTTCTCGCTAAGTTTACTTTCTCATCGACAGCTTTCTTCAATATCATTTTCTCGTCATATTATCTGTCTCATATACATCATTTATGTATGCTATTCTTTCCTTTTTTAGAGGTTTCTCATATTTCTTATACCTTTGTTTCTCATACTCGATTTGTTCTACTCTTCTCACTTTATCGCCTAATTGAGCCATGTCATTCAATGGTAAATTGACTAGTTTTTTCCTAATCGAGAATTCTAAACCCGCAGAGGCCATTCTGACTAATTCATATTCGTGAATTTGAGTGAAACATCTCGATTTCATTTGTCTAAATCGATTCAAATAATCATCTATGCTTTCATGATTGTATCTTTTTATATTCATCAAGTCGATGAGACTCACTTGAGTTTCTCCTCTAAAGAACTGTTCATGAAAATTCCTTTCCAATTGCGACCAATTATATATCGAATTGGGTGGCAATGACGTGAACCAAGTAAAAGCATTCTTAGTCAAAGAACTTGGGAAATATTTCATTTTCAACTCCTCACTCATCGCTAGGTCTCCACATTCGATCCGATATCGAGCTACATGCTCGATAGTCGATTCACCAACTTCTCCAAGCAAATTTAGTGAATTTGGGTACTTTATACCCTCGAGGCAATTCTCGTCTCGAGAATCGCATTCTGAAAGGGAGACACAAAATATGTCCGATTAGGTGGTCTAAATTCCATCCCTTGTAAATTCATCCTTTGTCCCAACATATTATTCCGATTGTGTATATTTTGAAATCCTTCGTTCAAATTCCCATAAATATCATTCCTCACATGTTGATACTCATGTCCCATACGCCGTCGTTGATCATTGTTTCTATTTCTTCTCAATAGATATGGGGGATTAATATTAGTATTTTGGTTAGCATGATTTTCTATCCTCGTTTGTCGAGGCACAGCCAATGCATCCCCGATTCGTGACATTTGGTCTCGCTAATATCTCAAAGCTAGCAGTAGTGTTTTGCACTAATGGATTTAAGACTCGTAGTCAATTGTTGTGATAACATATTCACCATTTCAAAATTACTCTCATCCATTTGTTGTCTAAGTACCCCTAATGAATTACTAGATATTCCGGTACCCATATTTTCGATAGAATCAAAATTAGATCGATGATAGTCTCTATCGAATACATGTCTCCCATGATCTAAGTATCCCCTCCGATCTAGATTTGGAGGTATCTCGTTGTGTGCCTACATTCTCGTCCATTCCCCGAATTCCGGGAATTACTAAATTTTGCGACGTCCCTAAATTCGTGAGGGATTCCAAAATTTTGTGGCATACCTAGTGTTTGGGACATTCCTAAAGTATACCTCGAATTCCTATGCATTGAAGAAGTTCCAGCCCCACTCACATTATTAAGTGAAAACCCTGGCGGTCTTACACTCATACGTGGCCCTACATATGTAGTTGTGGGATTTCCTATAGTTTGCATATTATTTGGTATCACCGTACTAGATCCTACTTGGGTGTTTGCTAATGTACCCGAATTTTGTTCACTACTCACAGGTATCGACATGCTCACAGCTTGTCGATATTACGTGTATGTTATCATTATGACTTTGCCCCCAGCATTTGGTGGGTGTGACCCATTTAATCCCTCACCGTTACCTTGGTTATTTGATGAACTCGACTCATGACTCTCCCACTCCTTAATCTCATACAATTTCGAACTAACCAATTTTGTGTTTCTCAACACAAGACTCCCCTACCCGGCGCGCCAATTTGTTTCGGTGGAATTTCGATCGATTTCGATTCTAAGGGTGTTTTGTTCCTAATCAAAATTCTACCACGTAAGCTCTTTTTACTTAGGCTAGCAATTTGATTTTCAATCGAAAACGTGTATGAGAATCGAAAACTCCAGGATATCGAAAATGCTCGTTTTTGGTGTTTTGTATTTAAAGTATCGAAAGCATTAAGACTATCGAATCGAAAAGCGTAATATTAAATTGCGAGGAAATGTAAAATGCGAGAACCCCAAACTTGCATTAATTGTAAATAGCGAGAAATCGAAAACAACGCAAATATAAATGACAAGAAATCGAGATTGCAAGAAAAGTAAATGACAGGAAATTGAGATTTGCGAATGTTAAATAACAGGAAATCTAAATGCGTAAACTCAAATTTTCATTGAATTGAAATGGACAAGGAATCAAATACGTAAACATAAAACCGCTGAATTTAAGTTGCATCAAAGTAAATTACCAAGGAAAATACGAAAGCGGTAAATGTACTCGATGAGCAAGGAAATCAAGATTGCCGTAAGCTTCATGGTGTTCGTCGTTTCTCCGGTAGACTTTTCACTACTCGATCCCGTTCTCTCGCCAATTTCTGCTCCCCCCTTTGTTCCTTCCTTCTTTGCTCTATTTATAGGGCATCCTTCAAGCTTTCTAAGAGCAGTTAACACGACTGCTACCACGTTTTACGTGCGTATGGCAGTTTATCTTCTAGTTTCCCACGTTCTCACGATCTCCGACTTTTTCCCATGATTTCAAAACTGTTCTTTACTTCCTTTCATGATTTGGTCAAAGTCTCGATGTCCGCCTTGGCTTTCTTTACTCTCGATTCTGTATTTTTCGAGAACTTCGAATTGCTTACAATTCATTTTTAACCCTGGTCTTATATGACTTAGTTTTTATTCGACAACAGTCATTTGATTATTATTCATTTGATTCTCGATTGTGCTTCTCGATGCTATATGTTACGTATTTCTAATTAGACATCGAATGAATTTCTGTTTACCTTATCGAGTCACATCTCTTTCCTTCGATTTCGATCGCTTATCTCGATTTGCTACTAACAGTATTAAAATATACTTAGTTATTGTAAAAAGTTAATTATATAAAAATAATAAGGTAAAGGACAGTGAGCATTAAATTTAATTATATTTCTTACAGTGAGGTAACGATCTCTGACGCAGAAGAATCCAATTGTTGTTGACAATTGGACTAAAGTCTGAAGGAAAAAAAAAAAAAAAAGGTTGTTGTAATAATAAATCTTATACAGTTATAAATTCAGACAACCCAACTGTGATTCTTATTATGATGAAAATAATGTTGTCCTTGTCCACTGTGAACTGAAATAATGACGGCGAAGCCACTAAACCCAAACCCAACCTAATTTCAGTTTTGGAACCAAGCACTAAAATTTCCATATCGAACTTTCACACCCAATTCCTCTTCGATTCTCAATCCCCATTCCTATGTAAGTTCCTCTTCCCTTTCTAGGGCTTATTTTCAGCGATCCTGCCCTTTCAATGCTCGCTCACTCTTTCCGTTGCAAATTCTAAATATGTGTGTATTTCATCAATTGAATTCTCACTTTTGTATTTCCCCCGCAGAATTGCAGAGAACATTGAATTGAATCTCTTGGTGTTGATTAATTGATGCTTATGCAGGTTTTTTGATGGGAAGAGGATGGGGTTGTGATTTGTAATTGGAGGAGTGTGGAGGAGGGAGGACATCGTCCACGGCCACAATGCGGTGGTTTCCATTGAGTACAACTTCAAACTCGGAAAGAGAGCGGGATAGAGAGAATAATACTACTCGTTCTTCGGTGTATCTCAATGTATATGATCTTACTCCCGTAAACAATTATCTTTACATGCTTGGTCTTGGAATATTTCATTCGGGTATACAAGGTTCGTGTCTGTTTTCCTTTTACTTCTTTTCCTGCTATTTTTTTCTCTCCCTATATGGAACATGTTATCACAAAATTTAGCTGGGTTGAAGGTTACCACTTATGAATGAGAGAATTACATTAATTTAATTACAGTTTATTACAGCAAAGAACTTGCCCCATAAATGAGATTACATGTCACTATTCTGCTCAGTTAAAAATCAAAGTTTGAGGAATATTGTTTAGCATGAGATCTCTTTTGACGGCTTCTTCTAAAGTCTTTCTTGGTCTCCCTCTGTTCCTTTCTTCGCTTCAACTCGACTAACAATCAAGCAATTTACTCTACGCGCAATTATGGAGAAGGGTTGTGTTAGGCCTTCGGCAACCAACGGAAAACTTGCCGATGATCTGAACATTAATTTACAGTTTTTCATTGCTAACCATATTTGATTATTAAAAGAAGAAAAATAGAGGGTAATTCAAAACGAAGTTGTTATATCATAAACGAAATCGCTGTGTGCATTGTACCAGAAACTAGGCAGGTGTTAGAGTGTACATTATTAGACAGCTTTGTGTGTTGTATTATTCTACCATTTGGATCGCTTGGTGATATACCAAGCAACCGTTAGCTCCATAAATTTTTTTTACTAAATGATTGATTTAGTTTGCACTCATTCTCGCTTTATTCCTCTTGGATTTTTCATTCGTGTATTTTCAACCATCTATTTTTCTTTCCCTCTCCTTGTATTCTTCTTAGTTTAAGAAGTTCTTACAACATGCTTAGTAATTAATCTATTTTGGGATTATTTATGTACTTAAACCCTCTCTGTGATGAATATAGGAATCATGGGATAAATGGTGTAATCAATATTTTAACAAGCAAATGCAAGCATTCCACTGAATATTGATGTACGTGTCATTTTCGACTAGATCAGCATACAAAAATGGTAACACATTATGTATAGAGTAGTCGATGGTTTCACAAATGTGTAGTTTAATGGTTTAAAGGAGGACAAGACGAAGTGACTTGTACTTTCCTTCTTTTTTTCGGTTTTCCGTTCATTTTGTATTATTGCCGTTGTTTAGAGGCTAGCCACTACTGTTTATATCTAAAATGTGCTTTCTGGTACTGTGTCCAAAATTGGTTGCTAGTTCTATTTTGAATAGCTTGGATGTATAGGAATATTTTTCTTCTATTTTTTTCATGTAGTTCCATTTTGTTGTTTAATACCACCTTGCATCAACTTTTAGCTTATTGTTTTCATGAACAGTTCATGATATTGAATATGGATTTGGAGCACATGAATATCCAAGTAGTGGTGTGTTTGAGGTGGAGCCTAGAAGCTGCCCTGGCTTCATCTTTAGACGTTCAGTGTTGTTGGGCAGCACTGATATGTCTAATTCAGAATTTCGATCTTTCATAGAGCGCCTGTCAACAAAATATCACGGAGACACTTATCATCTTATTGCCAAAAACTGCAACCATTTTACGGATGAAGTTTGCCGACATCTAACAGGAAGTCCCATCCCTGGATGGGTAAATCGGATGGCTCGTGTAGGTGAGAGAATCTTTCTGCTTGCTTATTCTTATCATAAGTCATAATGTGATTTGTATTAATACGAATGTGTAACATACATTCGTATACCACCTTCCATTCTGCCTCCTTTTTGTCTTTTAAGAAGATGCGGTCCTGATTGCACCAATGTGAGTTTTACATTACAACTGAAATAGGTTATACGACAGTATGACAGGACAAGGGAAACAAGCATGCTTACATTGGGTTTCACTTTATGAGTCTGGTGATTATGCAGACTAGTTTTGTTCTTATCTAATAATGTGTGGTTTAATCATTTAGGTTCTTTCTGCAATTGTCTGCTTCCAGAAAGCCTCCAGGTTGCCGCTGTTAGACATCGCCCTGAACGTCTTTCATTTTCTGGTAAGATTCTAGGATTATATTGTTAGCCAAATTGAATTGAATTTTCCATAAGCACTTCTAAGGGAGTAAAAGAAAATAATGAATTGAATTTTTTCATATGCTAAAATTAGCTTATACACAGATTAAAAAAAAAAGTTAGAAAATTTATATGAGAGAGCTTCTACAAATTAGCTTATCTACAAGTTAAAAGTAAAAATTTTGAGAAATTATGCGAGGTTCTATAAATTAGCTTATGCATAAGCTTATAAACAAGGTAATTTCAATTTTCTTCTTATTTTTCTCCTAGAAAAGTGCTTGTGGAGAAGCTCATCCAAAAAAATAATACGTCTCATTTCAATTTGTTTCAAGGGTGATGATTATTTGATAACCCAAATAATCATTAGACAATCCAAAATAACACTACATAGTGTTATATAGTGTTATTTTTATTTTGAGTTTCTAAAGATTGTTTGGGTTGTGAAACAATCATTTTTATTGTTTCAACGGCTATCCAAGAAAGAAAGTATATTTGTACACATAGGCACATATAATACATAAGCATGGGCTGATGCACTTAAGGACAATTGTTCCCACAAGATTTATTTTACTTAAACCTATTTAATAATTTCTTTTGCCCCCATACAAAAATAGATGTTGCCCTTGAGAAATTATAAGAAATAAAAGTGAATAAATTGATACTAATTTTATTACTTTATGTTTCTAATTTTGACTAGTCTCACTTCTCTAATATTAAACACACTATTAATGAGTGACACAATACACTTTGACACAATCCAAGAGAGAGAAAAAAGGAAAAGTAGTCGCTGCTTGCCGCATTTCCTTGGAAAAGAAAATTTACTATCCCACATCTCTATTTGCATATTTCCTTTTCACTGGAGATAATCTCCCAAAATTTGTATTAGTATGACGATGAAAATCATGCTATATTCTCAAAGATGAAAGTATGTGTAGAGGGAAATTATAACTTATAAAAGCTTAGGTATTTTGAAATTTTTTTTATCATGATACTATATATTTTGTAAAAACATTTTTTATGAAAATATTATAGATTATTCTCTTGTCGCCCACTAATTTTTTTTTTTTCCGAATCTACCACTGTATGGAAGCCTGTTATGTCTTCTTATATAAAGTCCATTTTAATATTTTTGTAAAAGGTTGAAGAAATCATGCACTTCATCATGAACCCATAAGTAAATGGGGCTTTATTCTTCCCCCGCGAAAATATCCATGGACAAATGTGACATTTTAAAACACCTTGGTTAATTATTGAAGAACTTGCTTTTGAATTCCTGGAATATCTCGAAGAGATGTTCATCAAAAATTGGTGGTGGTGTTTCGTAAAATATAAATTTTGTTGCCGCAATGGATCTTGTATAAAGGAATTTGGCATCTGTTCTATACTTGATATAACTAAACTTGTGAGGAAGGATCTAAATTTCCGTTATTGCAGATGATGATGGAACAGGATCTGATGGTCATTCTGCATCCATTGATAGTGAAGAGGATGAGCCCAATCACCATTTGCTAACTGCACCAAATGGTGATGTTGCATTTCTAAAGGAAAAACCAGTTCGGCTGTCGCGGGAGCACCTATGATTTTAATTGGTTTACCTTTTTTGTATTCTTTCTTTGTTCTCTTGGCTTGTATCTATCTAAGGTCCTAGCTTTAGTGCAACGAATTTCCCAACTGGAACATTTAGACTCAAAATGCATGCTTTGTAGAACAAAGGCGATAATCTGTTGTATAATGTCCTGTACTTGTCCAAATAGACTGGTTGCCCTGGAGTACAGACAAAATATGTTCGGGGTATACTGTTAAATCTGACTGAGTGATTCCTTCGCGAATCCATCTTTTTTGTACCTCTTGTGGCTACCACTAAGTGTCCACAATGTGGAAGTAACGCACAAAATGACAAATTCATGTAAATCTTGTGATTGCTCCTTACATAATGAAAACTTCATCAGTTGTGATTTGGACCTGCATAAGTTGAATGTGTCACGCAAAGTGGATGCTCTGTTTTGCTTTTGTAATGACAACTTTTCTAAAGATAGATTCTTGGTAAGTACGTAGAAATGGACTTGCTTATTCCTAAGAAACACGTCGGAAGTGCTTATTTCTTCCCATTCTTCTTCAACCAGACACTCCGCGAGTTCTTCCATCTTCTGCCTAACAGATCACTCCCTTATGGGCATAACCCTCAATATATCAGTTCTATAAAACAATTATTTCATTCAAAATTATTACAATGATTTAGGTTTCATTGTGGATGATGAGTTGATGGAATTCAACGACTTTTTGGATTGTTTACTTGCTTGCATTTTCCTCCTACGAAGCAAAAGCAGTCTACTGATCGTGCCCTGGATTCTTCCCATAATTTTCTTTCCTTTCTATTTTCTATATTTTATATTTGGATACCATTATCTTCAGCCGATTGGTTTATATGGTCGGCATTTTTTAACTGATTTAATATAATTATTCCTAAATTGCACTAATGTCCGAAACCGTTGACAGAGAGTAGTACTCCAAGTCAAGGTAATTAGCAGAGAAATTTAGTTAGGATCGTGGAAGAAATACAGCTTGGGTGGCAAGCCCCTGGCTGCAAGGCGCTGAATTGGTCAACAATTGAAGTTCAGACACTTGATGTGACTTTTGAAAAGTATATTCTACGTTCTACCTGTTTTTTCCTTTACATATTGCTTATATTACCCTCATCTGAAGCTTGTTGAAGCCTGCAAGAAACCAATGCTTTTAATTCTTTTCGCAAAGTTCTTCTAGATGCTGAGGTTTCTTTATAATGACTAGATTTATACTTTTATTCTCAGTCTTGGTCCCCCTCCAACTAGTTACTTCATTATTAACTTGGAAAAATAAAACGCCTCATATATTCCTATTGCCTTGGTAAACTTGACCCTGCATTCTCTGCAGTCCCAACTGATGGGTGAATTCATCTTCCTCTTCCTCTTCTGTGTTCTCGGCTTCCAAAGTTCTGTTCTTAAGGTGACCCAGGCAAGGTTCCAGGCCACAAAGTGCGGAGATGCAGGTCCTGACATCCACTATCCTTATCAGATAAAAGGTCGGCACCAACAATATGAGTCCCTTCCTGGTTTTGAGCTTCTTTGCAAAGACAATCTCACAACCATCCACTTTCCGTCTTATGGAGATTTAGAAGTGAAGTCTATTTCCTATGACACCAAAAATATTCACCTGCGTGACCCCAAAAACTGTGCCCATAATGTCTTTCTGAACCTCAATCTCTCCCTCACACCGTTCCACTATTTTTATGTTCTGAAAAACTATACATACCTCAATTGCTCGACCACCCTTCCACCTCCTTTCGTGGAGGTTCCATGTTTAAGTGCTTCAAGTCATCACGTCTACACGGTGGACTCTACACTACCTGTGCCAGGTTCATGTCAAGGAGTCAGAACTGTTCCCATTCCTTTTGCATATAGCCCTTATCTCTCGGACAGCATGCTTGGTCTCAGATTAACATGGGACTTGCGTGAACCTGAAGACAACGGAGCAATAAACCGGACTAGAGGTTCCCACACATCACGTAACATAGGTGAATTAGACATAATTTCTTTTTCTTGCCTTCCTCTTGTTGAAAATTAGGATTGGATAGTTTTGCCATTGCTGTTTCTTTAGATTACTCTTTAGTTTACAATTTTCTCAACGATGTTATTATTATGCAGTTATTGGGTCCAGCATGTGTGTTTTTGTGATGGCAGTGTTACTGCTTATAAGGATAAAGATTCGTGTGGCAACGAGGAATAACTACCAGAAACAAGAGCAGCTACTGCAGAGTTAGAAGGATTTCAACAATATTCTACCTTTTTTTATTCCTCTTTCTGAAATATGACTTTACCTAAATCAGTTACATTTCCCACCTCAATATCTTTTGTTCTTATCTCAAGTTAGGGGAAACCTACCACTGAGTAAACAATATTGAATGACATCATCTTGTCTTCTTTCTTACCGAAACTTCTGTGATACTTACTTCATGTTTGGCTCTGAATTAAAAAAAAAGTTGTTGTTGTGACATTTAGCTAAAATAATCAATTTGTTTGTGAGGCTTTTCCAAATTAGTGGTTGATTTAGTCCTAAGTATGTAACAAAATATAAATTGGTTCTTGAATATTATAGTTCAATCAAAAAATTGTTCGTAAATTTTAATAATAAATTTAACAACTAAATTGACAAGTGTTTCAAACGTTCAAAAATCAAAATTTAAAATTTGGTTTTTTTTCATCTATGGATGCGTAGCATAGTTATAACATTGGTTTGAGACACAATGCGAATGGTGATAACGGAAGACAAATTATACATACTTAGGGTAGGGGATACCTCTGTGACTCTGTAAGGGTAAATAATTGTTTTGGTTTTTGCAGCGAAGATTTTATTAATAATATTTTTTATTATATAATAATATAATAAATTAATTATTAATAATATTTTTTATAAAAAAGAAAAATAATTATAACAACCAAAAAAGTTATTAGTTTTAAATGTTACAAATATATAAAATAGTAGAAAGGGAAAGATTATTTAATCATATAAATAAGATCAAAATTTAATAAAATAATAATTATTTAAAATTAATTTGATTGGTGTGAAATAAAAGAATAAAAAAAAATTGATGTTTCATTCATCTCCATATTCATCCTCTACATGTATTTATTCATAAAGACATTGTTATTCTGACTGTAAAATAAGTTTCATATTTTTTTATTTTTTTTGCCTTTCTAATTTAAAAAAAAAACTTTAGAATCAATTTTTTAAAAATATTTTTGATGGACCTTTTCAAAACATTCTATATTAACTTTTTTAAACAATAAATTGCTTCAAATTTCCTGATAAAAAATTTAAATCATACATGAAAAATCATTTTCAAATTTAACTTTTCGGAATGTAAAATTATACATTTCGGATTTATTAAACAAGGACACTTCAAAATATAAAACACATACAGGGGTAATATTGTCTTTCACATAACAATGGGGGTACAGGATCAAACTATGTAGAAAGTCTTTGTTGGGCCCACTTAATTTACCATAGCCCAAAATTCAAAGTACTAGACTAAGAGAAGGCCCAATAAACGCACGCGCATACCAATAAAGAGATGATCAACTGTCACTGAGGTTTATTTTCTATAGGTGGTCGGATTAAAAACCAAATCAACCATTAATTATATTCAAAATATAATTAGACTACATATTATAATAAGTATTAATTTTTATTATTTTTGATAAATTTATGAATTTTCTTTTATTAATATCCTAATATTTTAAATCTTTTTTAATCTAAATATTGTTAAATAATTTGTTATTTTTTTATCTCTAATAAATATAATTAGTAAAAGAGCAATTAATATAATTTAAAATTTTATAAATTTATAAACAATTTTTTTATAAAAAATGACATATATTTTAAATTATATATATATATATATATATATATATATATATACATATTAAAAATTAAGTATATTTATTGTTTATTTATGATTTGTTAAATGTCATACCAACAAAACCAACCACATTAAGAAGAAAAAACACACATGACACAAGAAAACATCTGTTCCTACTAAATGTTGTGTTCATTCCATCCATTCAAGTTGAAATTTCTTTCCCATCTTTAGTGATAAGTCAAACAAATAAGTGTAAATAGCATTAAGCATTTGTGTGCTACCATTAATTCCTTTGTCATTTATGAATTTGTTCCCTCTGCACTTCAACTTCCAATAAATGAAACTTCACTTTTTTACTTTATTTAGAATTATACTATTTTATAAAATTTAAATATACCTATTTTCTACCTGAAAGGTTTTAATATCTTCCGTTTCAACTATTTTCATTTTTTTTTATCTTTTAAACAAAGTAAAAATGTCCATGTGGTTTAATAGAACAAATGTTAAATATAGTGAACCTAATAAATACTAAAGATATTTAAAGCCCTTTGGGGTCCCTTTCTTATCTTGGGCTGCTCGCTACCAATCTCAACCCAACAAGTAGCAGTTAGCAGTTGCTGTGTAACCTTCACTAACAGAAGACCTTTCTTTCCTACCATTATGGCTCTTCCTTCAATATACTCTTTCTTAGTCTTTGTCTCCTTCCTCGTCTCAGTCTCACACTCCATACCCTTCATTGTTATTCATGGTAATTGTTTTTCTTTTTAGTTTTCCAATCTGTTTTAATAACTAGTATAAGCTTGTTGCTTTTGTCTAGCTCCTGACTTAAGAATGGTGTTTGATTAAAACTTACTAGTGAGTCCAATTTTTTATTTTTTTTTCTGAGATTTTGGTTTGATGGGGTTGAGGAATGTGTCTTGCTTTTGCTTGCCAAAGTTAATCAGTAGATTTTTAAAAAATATATATTTTCATTGTACTATCTTTTTTCTACTCTTTTTTTAGTTTATTACATTTGACCAAAAATATTGGAGTAAGCTGATTCAATTCAGATGGACGCTGCACTGTATTTTGGAATTTTTTGGAACTCTGAAGTCCCTGGTTGTGCTAGAATTTTGTTTTTTTGGTGTGCGAGTTTTTTAGTAGAATTATAGATTACACTGATTCTTGATTGCAGGAATTGGGGATCAGTGCTCTAACCGCGGAGTGAATAAATTCACGCAGCAATTGAGCAGCTTTTCTGGTGCTGAAGGATATTGCGTGTAAGTTTGCATAACTTTTTGGTATTAATTTCTTATCAAGGAATTCTTTCCAATATCTTCCCTAGCCTTTGTTGAAATTTTATCCTCTGAAAGTAGACTGTAATGTAATGTACTGTAATGTTGATTTCACCACTAATAAAGTTTCCCTATTTCTTAAGCGAGATTGGCAATGGATCATGGGATTCATGGTTTCTGCCTTTGAAAAAGCAGGTAATAGGTCAGAAAGATTTTCCGTATTGAAGGTATTGTCAGGATTGACTAGTTTCTAACTTGTCTTGTTTTCCATGTCTGCAGACTGAGATTGTTTGTGAAAAGGTGATGAAAGGATTTCTGCTGGGTTGTGGTACTGATAACACTTCATATTTCTAGGCTTTTGAATTTAAACTTGCTACTCCACTTCCCACCATGTACAGGTGAAACAAATGAAAGAATTGAAGCAAGGGTACAACATTGTTGGACTTTCCCAGGTAAAGCATGAGAATTGGGATTTTCTTCATTTTTCCTATTGTTATTTCCATACAAAATGGGTCGTAGTGGGATGAGACTTTTGTTGTTGTAGTAGAGTGCAAGAGAGTGTTGATTATTGCTCTATCATTCTAGAAAGCATTTGATCATTACATTACAATTTTTGTTAAAATAATATCTTGGATGGCGTCAACAAAGTAGGGATATAATTAAGATTACTATGTTCAATTGTGGTAAAAACTGAAGTTGAATAAAATTTCTTGAGCTTTATTAAATTTTCTAGTCATCCAATGAAATTACTTATACATTATCCTAGTCACCGTTCAGCTTCATCAGTGATCTTCTTCTTGTGAATACCCATTTATATGCATTCTCTTCTTTCTTTAGGTGGCTGCATTACTTCAAGGCCTTGTTGTTAAATTACTGTCTTGACATAATTGTCTGCTCTTAAGGCTTCCATTAGGCTTGCCTTATTAAAAAAATGTCATATATTTTCATCTGTAAATGCTTGAATAAGCCAAGTTCCCCTTGGCAAAATCTGTGGTGATTTTTGTCATGTTGATTATATATTAGGGTGTCAACAACATCCCTTGACAAAATGTCGTTTATACATTAGCGATGTTCCAGTATTCATGTCAATATCGTGTCCTGTGTCAGAGACGGTGATTCATATTGGTGAAGATTATATCTTCACTTTAGTCTTCCTGCTTATGTATATTTTGAGCATGTTTTCATAGTGATGACATATTATGCACTTCACATCATTTTGTTACTTAATTTACAGAAAGAGTGATATACTATTGGGACAGATGACCAAGATTCAATCTTCCTTTCTTTCTTTTTGTGACTGCGGGAATTGTTAATTGGCTACACAATTTCATGATTCATCTCACATATGCTTCTTTTATATATATTTTTAGATCTTTTGTGATTCATTATTGAATTTCTCATCTTACAGGGGAATTTAATTGGTCGAGGCGTTGTGGAATTTTGTGAAGGAGGACCTCCCGTAAGAATCTATTAGTTTCTTTATCTGTTTTCCTACATATTCCACTGTTAATTGTACTTACTCATTCTGATGATCAGAAATACACTAGAGAAATATTATTATCGTCCATAATTGACAGACAAAAACGGAAATTACAGGATTTTACAATTTATGTGCATGTGCATATTTCCATTTACAATTGGAGCTTCATTGTTTGAGTTTCATCTTTCATTGTTTCCTATAATGATGGTAAGAGTGCTATTCTTTTATTGATATATAAGAAATGGAAATGCTATTCATGTTCTTTCAAAATATATCAATTTAATTCCTTCTTATTGTTCTGCTCTTCTTTCTTGCATCTTTGTGAGTATTCCTCTCTCTCTCAGTATTGTTCTTCTCTGTGTATTTAGTCTATAAATTCCCATCCTCGTCAACCTTGGGATTTCTTCCTTCTTATTTTTGGAACAGGTGAAAAACTTAATCTCTTTAGGTGGCCCTCATGCTGGTACTGCTTCAGTTCCCCTATGTGGTGTGAGTATCATTGTGGTTTTCCAGCATATGCCTTTATTATTTCTGTCTTTTATAGATTTTGGAAATACCACACCAATTATTTCATTTGAAGGTCACAAGAGATATAAAGAGTATTAGTGTAATGTTAGAATCGGAATCAAATGCTTAGCATTTGTATTATTTGCTGAACATCTAGGAAAATAGCAGAGATGACTACAAAGATAAATGCAAAAGTCAAGCAAAAAAGAAAAGAAAATAGAGCTTTGTTGAATTAGACCTTAGTCATCTTAGGATACTTAACATTGAATTATTTATCATAGCTCGGTTAATATTGTCCTCTCTAAATTGACAGTGGAAAAAAAATTATTGTTTTTTTAAAATGTAACAAGATGATATTTTTTCTGTTTTATTTTATATCTTTTATTATTGATATAATATAGTGCTGTAAAACCTTTTTTTTTCTTTCCTTAATTTTTTCCTATATCATGAAAGAGAGTGAAACTATGTAAATTTTAATCTTTTTAGTAGAGTATTATCAAAGAAAGTTATTAAAACTCTTTTATTTTGTCTTGTTTTATATCCATTTATGTTCAGTTCTTCATTTCACAGCATACTTTGGATTCACTATTTAGGTAATGCCCCGTGTTATGGTTGTTTGCAACATATTACAGCATTTAATTTGATGTCATATCTCTGAAAGTTATTGGTCATGGTGCTAATATGTGCAAAAGAACAAAATAGAAAAATTCAATGTATATTAAACTTCTATCTTGCCTAGTTCTAATGATTTTGAACGGTGTTGTTTCAACAGTCAGGTATCTTTTGTGTTCTTGCAGACCAACTCATCAAGGGAGAGGTTTACAGTAGCTATATTCAGGTATTTATTTCCACCTTTTATTTATTTATTTTCTCTTTTATCTGATCTCTACTATGTCTTAGTTTTACCGTATTTCACTTTCTATGTGTTTTTTAGCATATTAGGGCGCACTTTGACTTGTTGTCTCACTGTATTGGCACTTAGCATTAATTTTCATCCACACTTTACTGTCTCTGACATTCCTCAATTCTAAAATATTGCAGGAACACTTGGCTCCTAGTGGCTATCTTAAATTACCGAATGTGAGTTACACTTTGCTAAATAGTTTAAAAGTTGTGTAATAACTGATGACTTATTTGTCTAACAAAAAGCCACTCCTTGGTAATTACTTTGTTTGGTTTTCAAGTTCTAATATATTTTTCTACGATGGGCTAAACTGCTGAACTTCTTGTTTTTACTCACTATTCAATTACATAATTCCTTTTCATGTATCTAAGTTATTCATTTGCTTTAAATTTTCTCAATACCTTAAAATCGGTATAAATTTTGATTTCAGGCCATACCTGATTATTTGGACAAGTGTAGATTTCTTCCAGACCTTAACAATGAAATACCAGCTAAGAGAAATTCCACTTACAAGGAAAGATTTAGTAGCTTGCAGAATTTGGTACTTATCATGGTAAGCCTTGTAAAGTTATTTTTGTTGATTTATGAATAGAATATTGCTAATTGACTTCATGAGGAAAACCTATATACTTATCTTCTTATGTTATACATTAACAGTTTGAGCACGACAGTGTTTTAATACCAAAGGAAACTTCCTGGTTTGGATATTACCCAGATGGCTACTTCAACCCGGTTTTACCACCACAATCAGTATGATCCTTAATTCAACTTTGATCATTTATATCATGTACTTGGTAGTCATAGTACATCAAGTAACCAAAAAACCAAATAGGTGACACCTTTGTAAAACAAGTAACAATTCTGCGAAATATCAAAATACGAACTTTGGTGCAATGTTTCTTACTACAATAGACTATTGATTTTGTTTTATTGTATTAACCTGCTTCACAGACACAACTCTACATTGAGGATTGGATAGGCTTAAGAACTCTAGATGAAGCTGGTAAAGTTCACTTCATTAGTGTTCCAGGAAAGCATCTCGGAATCTCCGAATCGGATATGAAAAAGCATATAGTGCCATATTTGAAGGATCAAACATCCCTAGAAGATAGCATCAATAAGGCCAGGTTCAGAATTCAAGGAGTTAATCAGAAAGTTATTCAAAGCAACAGGATGGAGGTAGAACCGTCATCCTCTCCATTACTTGATGGGTCATTGTCGTATTCGTGGCCAGCACCATTCAATACTTTCATTGGTGATTTGATTGGCATTAATGAAGAGAAATCTACATGAAAGAACCAATCACATTACACTTAATTGTTAAACTAAACCTATTGAATAGTTTAGTTGAATCATATTAGATTGATACAGCATAAGAGTATTATATGTTGATATTAGTTTAGTTTGATAAAGATCAATATGCTTCACTTGGAAATCTTAGCTTCTATGTTATGTTTTGTTTCACTTCTTTCTACTTTCTTTTATTTTGGTTTGTTCTGTGTTTAGTTTTTTGTTCTCTGTTCATTTGATAGAATTTCCTTTCCATTCGTCAAAAGACTAATAAAAATCTTCTTTCATTAATAATGAACGCTGATCTAAATTAATTAAAATGATTTATTTTTCACTAAAATTTGAATATAACACTCATTTTCGTTAATTGGTGTATTTCATCGTTCAATCTACGAATCCGTAAATTCTTTCCATCAGAAAAAAGTAATTATAAAGTCTTCAACAGTTTTGATGTAGTCACGTGTTGCTTGTTATATGAGTGCAACTCTGAAACATCTATTCAGTCCTTGAAATTATTGTGAAATTAGACACACTCCATCTAATATAAATAGTCAGAATAAGGAAGAACAGGTTAAAAGTTCCAACATCACTCATCCTAGAAATAGGATTGTCTTTCATTTCCCCTTCAATACTCAATCATTGGAAATGGATCTCTGATCACTATCCCCTATCCCTATTCTTAACTTACACACACTTGTAGTTCTTTCGTGTTTTGCTACCTTTATCATGGTTAGTATGTGACAAATATTTGAAAAACTCCTGTGTATGCAAAAGTAAGCATATTTGATGGATCAAAGAGGTTACATGTCAAGGAATACTCCAAGTCTTAAATACTCTTACCACAATATAAAAATCTTTTGGAAATTTATAGATATTCTCTTACCAATCTATATCTATAATATGGTAATGCAAGTAGACCACGTTTTACTAAAAAATGCTACCCTGATTGCTCACCAAATCTGGAAATAGGGGACACACCTGCAAATAGACTACCTTGTATGCATTATTTAAAGAAACAGGGTGGCCCCTCTCATGCCCTCAACAAGCCACCAACCTTCTTTTTTAACCAATTTCATGTGGGCCTTCGGCCTTTTCCATTAGTTGAAATCTTGAGTAAAAATGAAAATGTTAAATTACTTATAAACGAGAAAAATTAATAAATTTAATATTAATTTTTTTTATTAAATGTGTTGTTATATTTTTTTTATATGATTCAATAATGACATTAAAATATGAAATTAAAAGAAAGCAAGAAATCTTAGAAGGAAAAAGAATTCGTACAGAATATATACATAAATACTAACTATTACATGGAAACCTTTCATCATTTGAAGAATCAGCAAGCGAAATGATTGGGTTAATACGAGCCAACGTTGATGCTGCATCGAATAAACAAATCAGCTACCCCGAGATCATGAAATTTATAAATAATGATTGCACCATCATGTGCCATAATACACAATATTCTCTTCTCTGCTACTCCTCCATTTTTAAATGCAAGCTTTTCCACCCGCAAGGATCAAATCATGCTTTAACCTAACACATCGCAAACCCGATTATTATTCCGATCATACCCTTCAATCCATGCTCGTGTGAAGCCCTCTCAGAAAAAGCAATGGGCACTTGGGAGAATCGCTTTGATTATAATTCCAGGGTACGAGAAAGCAATGCGTGGAGCGCACGTGCAGAGCAACATGAAGTGAATCATGGATTAACGATATAACCCAACCAATAAAATCATTCATTTAACCGTTAATCACATGATTACCAGCTCAGACGGTCACATGGCCACGTCTTTAAAATGCTAACTAGCTTGCATTAAATTAAAAATAAAACATGATATGAAATCATAGTATGATAAACCAAGTTGCCTCTGCAAATGTTCCTTGAAGGTGGTCTTGCACATGCACGTGTGGAGAATCACACAATCTAAGACAGACATCTTGGGAAACCCGTACTGTTTGGTTAAGAAAGTGGTGGGAAGGTAGCTTCATGGAAAAGGGTGTTCATTCATATCGCAGTTCTACCAAAAACAAGCTATAATATCATAATCATTCATCATTACAGGGAAAGTGAGGTTTGACCGTACACCAGATCGTTACAGCATATAATAATTATTAATAATATTTTGATTTATTGTTTGAATATTGTGGAGAGAGAATAATAGAAAGACTTTTATAAATAGAATCCGAGTTAATTATTAGATACTAAATTAGTTGTTTTTATTTATATATTTATTTATTTTTCTAACTGAAATTTTAATTTATATATTGATTTCAACATAATATTTAATTTAAATATATTATATAAAATAGAGAACGTGACACTTCCAAATTTTGCTAATAAAATTTGTTGAATTAGATAAAAAAATATTGTTTATTCATAATAAAATGATAACTTTTGACTTAAAATAAAAATAATAAAAAATTTAATTTAAATAATATTTTTTAACATAAAATTATTTAAAAATATTTGAAATAACTAACAAATATTTAAAATATTGAGATAAAAAGGATTTTCAATAAAGTATTAAAAAAAATTATAGTTATATATTTGTTAACTTTTTCATGAAGATGTAAAAAGATATTTTGTCATAATAATTTATGTAAATAACTATTTTAAAAAATATTTGACTTTAATAGATAATTTTTTTACTGTTAATTTAATGGATGGTTATAGTTAATTAATAGTAGAAGATGAAATTGAAAAGAACAGTTTTAAGGAAAAGTACACGTGCGATAGACATTCTACACGTGCGCCAGTTGGACATGGAAATTGGCGAGACAAGTAGGATCCATGTGGGTTACTCACAACTCGAGGTTGCAAAGGAACATTGCCTTTGCAACCATGCAACACAGCTAATTTTTTATTTTTATTTTTTCAATTAAACATAATAAACCCTTTTGTTTTATAACAAATATGTATTTAAAAAAAAATATTTAGTCAATAAAGTTATCTTATGACAACGTTAATCAAAATAATAAACAAATATATAAAATAATCAGAACAGACAAAAATGTATAATAAAAAAAGTTTTGATTACAACAGAAGAAATGGTCTTTGATATTTTTTTATTTACGAAAAAAATCTGTTTAATGATATTTTCTAAAAACTCATTTTAAAATTAGAGGTATTGTGTAAATTTCAATTCTTTCGAAAAAAAAAATATAGAACAAAGATATTTGTTTTGCGAGTTTAAGTTCGTTGGCCTTAATTAAAAATACATTCTCTTTAATTTTTTTATGAGTTTAACATTTATAATTTTTTTAGTATATTCTTTTTTTGCGTTATAACAGAAACATGTATTAGAACATCAATCTGAACCCAGAAAAAAAAAAATAACAACTCTGTATTCAAATATATCTTTTTTACCTCAAATTTAAACTCCATCATGGCATGCATGAAATATATCTTTGTATTCTATTTTCTCCACGTCATTATATTATGGGATGAAAATTTGATACAATATTTAGGCATGGGATAACTCGCAACGAAACAAGACGATAATGAAATAAGCACCATCATTTGTTTCCAAAAGCGAAGGAGAAAATAAACACCATTAGTCCACTTTTCAACTTACACCACTTCCATAATAATTTTAATTTCCAGAAAAAACAAAAAACGATATGATAAGTAGTAGATTATTTTCGGGTAAGAAAAGGGTGGTCGTCGGTGTAATCTATTAATTGTTGAAGCATTATCATATTTGACAAATAATATAACCATTAAATAAACACAACTCATATTTGTAAAAACCTTGTAATTGGTGTTCATTCATAGTCGTTGAAAATGGTGACTAGATTGCGAAATATTCTTGTGGGAATAACCCTAAACTTTTGGCATTATATATTATGATAATAAAGTTGACACTCTCTATCGTATTGGTTGCCCCAAAGTCAATTTAAATATTTCTTTGACAAAAATCATAGCGTTATTCAAATGGTTTAATTAATATCTTTTTACAATCTCTGTTTTCGATCTCTTTTGTCGTGATAGGAACACAAAGGACGAACAAAATATGAATATTATAGATATTCGTGATGTTATTTTCAATTAAATGAGTGATATATTTTCCAACGATAAGAACAAATCCTCTGCTTTAGTTTCTCGGACTCGTTTTTTATGTTATGATTCGTAAATCAATTTTTTAGTGTTTCTCGATTTTTTTTTCCTCTCGATTTTCTACCAACAGTCTCATAACTTGGAACTAAGTTTTAGCGTAAAAAGGATATATAAACTTATGCACCGACAGGTTGATGATACTAGTTTATGTTAAAGTTACTTTCTTTGTGCATGGTAAAGTAAAGTTAAGTGATTATTTTTATTGTTTAAACAACAAATACACTGGTCCCAACATTCAAGTGGGGTTTAACTCTGTTTTTTAAGGACTTTATCTTTATTAAATTAGATAAGACAACAAATAAAATGCCTTATAATTACATCAATTAAATCAAAGAAATAAATCGAAGTAATGATATACATTCATGTCCACAATTTAGACAAATGTATACTGGACTAATTAAATAATATTAATAATAATTAATAAATAAATATATAATAATAATATAATAAAGATAGGATAATATAATGGTGATCTGATAATAAAAATGACGATATTGATAAATATTATAAAAAATACTTATTAATATAATAAAAATTTACTTTTTAAATGTAAAAAATCATACTTAGTTGATATCATAAAACATTTACATTTAAAAAATAGTTTTTCACATATATATATATATATATATATACCTATATTTTATATTATTATTCAAGCTATTTTATTTTCAATAACTATAAATAAAAGTCAATGGCAGTCTTTAAAGAAAGTTGAGTGTATTTTTCATATAATTTGTATTTTCTCATAGAGAATATGTACCATTTTGAAGAGATAACTAAAGGAAATTTTTTGAAACATTCATCATAAATAGTGAAGGTAAAGATAAAAATATTATTACTTTTGCAAAAGTTACTAAATTTTGCGAGTTTATATTATTATTATTATTATTATTATATTAGTTTGTAGTATTTCCTTTTTTTTGCCAATTTTAATTTTAATTTTTTTTTCCATTCCAACTGTTGATTTTTTGTATTATAATTTTTTTGTCAGTGATGAATTTGAAATTATTTAGACAAAAGTGTCAATTAATTTTATATAATTTTAGATAAACCAAGTACTTGTGTGTTGTAAAAACTATATTGCAGTATTATTTAATTTATAATTCGCACAATCATAAAACCTCTTGTTATTAAAGAGAAACCATTATTTTGTTTCCTTGTCAGAATTTCATGGCATTATTGTTAATAATAATGTGCAGGGGTGGAAGTTAGGACAGGGACAAGACAGAATTTGGTTCATGGTTGGATCCCGATTTGTGTCAAGTTCATGAAATTCAGGTCATGTAGTCTTTTTTTCTAAATTCTGCAATCATGATTTCATGAAAGTAAAGGAGTTGGTTTGAAACTCAGTTTACGATTAAAAAAAAAATACAATATACACTATTTTAATATATGAATATCTTATTTTATTAAAAATAAATACACAATGATAAGAACGAAGCTGTTGATAATGGAAGGAGTGTCAATAATTTATCATGTCATGGCTGTGAGAAAAGTAACTGACAGACGCAGTGTGATTGGTGGGGCAGATAAAATCGAAACGAGATTCTTACAAAAGAAGACACGACTAAGTGAGGTGTGAAGTCTTATCAGTTTGGGTGTATCCCCGGGCGTGTGCAAGGGTCCCACCAAATGAAAATTGTCCAACCGCAACAACCCATCATTTAACACAAAAAAAGAAAAAGAAAAAGAAAAAGAAAAAACTCACTACACACAAAATATTAATAAAAAATAAATTTTATTTAACATATTAGTTAAATTGAAAACTCTTATAATAACTTGAAATTTGATTAATTAAATTGGAGAGGGTAAAATGGTAATTTAGTGGATGATGTCCGCATATATCTCCGGAGTGGAAATCAGGGTCCGAAGTTCACGCGCGCATCACGTGACGAACGGACCCAAGGGGAAAGGATTGGCCCCATAATTGAATTGTCGTGAACGCAGTGGGTTTCTATTATTGGGTGCCTCATGACATGACATGACAATTGAAGAGAGGAGAATGGAGAAAGATAGAAAGTTGCCACGTGGCGTGGTCCAGTTAAGTAGGGTAGGAGAGAAAATGAATAATGGAAAAGGAAAATGAAAATGAAAGAGTTCAAATGATTGTGATGAGGAAGGTGTTGGTGTGTGAAGGGACAGGACAGGGCGACACCCACGAACTTGTCCGGGAAGTGGGGCCAGGTGTGGAGGTGGAGATGGTGGTTGGAGCACGTGTGATCGAGGAAGCCATGTTGGTCCACGTGAGTTGGGACAGGTCAGGTTTTTTCTTCCACACCTTCCTTCATTTCGTAGCCCCTCTTTCCCACGTGAACCACACTCGTCCTTGTCCCCTCTCTCATCGTGTTATCATTTTTTAATTCAATGTCTCTGATTTTATTTATTTTCAGATAAAACTTCTTCCAACAGACTTTAGATTAAAAATAATAGTAATAATAATAATAATGTGAAAATGGGGACCCATCGAGGGACATGTAATGAATAATGAAAAGGTTATGATTTTGGTTCTAATGATGGCTATCTGGGGTGTTGATTTGGACAAAAGGTTATGGCGGTAAAGCGTAAAACAAAGGGCGATGATGGGGTCCCTACCATTGATGTTTGACCTCAGCCGTTGATGTAGGGAACTTGCATTTCATCAGGGGGAGTATTCAGGTGCAACCTACCCCACTGTCTTAAATGCTCAATAATATTTCTTTCTTTGCTATTTCTGATTAGACATCAAAATGGAACAAACTAAGTGGGTTTTAATTGTGTTTGCTGGGTGGATTCACTCTTCAAGGAACTTTAGGGCAATACCTTCACCTTCTATTTTTCTCCCAGACAACTTCAAATTCTTCTTCATTCTCATCTTTAAAGTTCAACACTTTTCCTGACATTCACATTACAATTTTGTGTTTTCCCACTTTCAAACTCTAACTAAGAATTTCTTCGTACACTTACTTAATGTGTTTTTCTCAACTAACAATATTCAACATTTTATTTTTTATGCCTGTGTGTGGTTTTCATATATATTAATTAGGACCATTTAACCCGTTGATACTTTTAAATTGATATTCTAAACTAGAACAAAATTTTAAGCTGTCAAAAGTCAAAACAAAACCTTAACTTTTTCTTTAATTTTTTTTATTCCTCTTGACTACTATTTTCTCTCTTAAGTCAAGTGGTAATACCTTACCTAATCACATTTACATTACATAACTTTATATTATCAAGACAATATCAGTTAAATTTTTTAAACACTTTATATGTCCTAATTTTATAAAATTGAATAAAGACGATACTTGAGTTAATCAATGAAATTTCTAGGTACTACATCAACATTAATTTAATTTAAATAAACCAAAATAGAGAATAAATAATTCTTATCTATTTCACTACGAATAAACCAATCAAGGAGATAATTTGTTAACATTAAGAAGTAAATTACAAAAAAATAAAATAAAATACGCAATATCTTTATTGATGTCAAGATTAAATAATTGTGTAAGACCATAAACTTTAAGGTTTTTTTTTCTAAAATAAATCTTTAATTTTTATATAGTTGACTGAGATTTAGATCAAAACAAATTAAAACATTGAAATAAAAATTCAACGAAGATAAATTTTGTTTTAAGTAGTTTATTTGAAGAATGAAAAATGTAATTTATATGATAAAAGCAAATGCAATAATAATATATTTTTGTGTGCGAAATATTTTCTTTTATATCTCTATTGATACCTTTTAATAATAGGTTCTAAAATATAAAGTAGGTTGGATTCTCAATCTTTTAATTTATAGTGATGATGAAAACAGGTAAGAAATGGAGATAGGAAATAATAAGAAGAGAGAGAAGGGAAGTTGCATTATTTGTGGGGCAGAAGCCATGATTCAGATAATTGGAGCTTCCTGACATAAAGTCATGATTGAACTCTCCACTCCCACCCATTTTCTCTCCTTTCTATATAATCCCTTCCACACACACCACTTCGTATACTCTCTTCACAATACCTCGTTAATCTCATTCTATCTCTTACCAAAACCCTATCATTGTCTCTCACAAGTGTTATTACATTATTTGAGATGGCGGCTGAAAAGGAGGATTTGGGTTTGAGTCTAAGCTTGAGCTTCCCTCATAACCCTCCAACTCCTCTTCATCTCAATCTCATATCTTCTTCCACTCATTCCTCTTCTCCTTCAAGCCACAACCATAACAAACCCTCTTGGAACGAGGCTTTCACTTCTTCAGGTGTGTGTGTTATTCCATTCCCCACCCTTGGATTCTCAATCCCTTGTTTGTTTCCAGATCTGCTCCAGTTTCTTTACACACTTCCTTTTCTCTTTTACTTGAACCAGCTACCTGCTTATTTTTCCAAAAGCAAAAACGCACCTTAGCCCAATACTTAACTTTTCCTCAACTTTTACTATTTACCAATCATAATCACTTTTTTTCATGCTCATTCTAAGCTTCCTAATTTTCCCCACCTCACTTTCAATATCTCAACATTTTTTTTTGGGCATGCAGGTGAAGCTGGATCGTTCCTTCGCGGAATCGATGTGAACCGGTTACCTTCTGCGGTTGATTGCGAAGAGGAAGCAGGTGTTTCATCTCCAAACAGCACGGTTTCTAGCGTGAGCGAAAAGCGTAGCGAGAGGGAAGCCAATGGGGAAGAAGAACACGACACAGAACGAGGTTGTTTCAGAGGCATCAGTGACGAAGAAGAAGGCGAAACTTCTAGAAAGAAACTCAGACTCTCCAAAGACCAATCAATTATTCTGGAAGAGAGCTTCAAAGAACACAACACTCTTAACCCGGTAAGTATATATCAACACAACGTGCCAATTAATTTGGAATTTGTTATGTCCAATGTTTGTGTTTTTGTTTGGTTTGTTATCTCTAACGTGTGAGTTATGTTCAATGAATGGTGCGTGCAGAAACAAAAGTTGGCACTGGCGAAAAAGTTGGGTCTTCGAGCAAGACAAGTGGAGGTGTGGTTTCAGAACAGAAGGGCAAGGTGGGTTCATTTCACTTTGAGTTGTGCGTGTGTTTTTTATTAAAATAAAATAAAATTAACGGTTTGTGTGAAACTGAAACTAATCTCAGGACGAAGCTGAAACAAACGGAGGTGGACTGCGAGTTTTTGAAAAGGTGCTGCGAGAATCTGACGGAGGAAAACAGAAGGTTGCAGAAGGAAGTGCAAGAGCTTAGAGCACTGAAACTTTCCCCTCAGTTCTACATGCAAATGAGCCCACCCACTACCCTCACCATGTGCCCCTCTTGTGAGCGTGTCGCTGTTCCCTCTTCCTCTGTCGTCGATGCTGCCACGCGTCACCATCACGTGCCCCAAACCCACCCTCGGGCCTTTCCCATTGGCCCATGGGCCTCCTCTGCCGCTCCTATTTCACACAGGCCCTTCGATGCCCTCCGTCCCAGATCTTGACTCGCCCAAAGAAAATGACAACGGAGCCATGATTCCTGCGTTCAAAGTGTGGTCTAAGATTTGGTGGTTAGGAAAACTGATTTTGTGGGTCTCAAATGTTTTGTACTAGTTTGACCCTTCGTCTTTTCTTTTACCTGGTCTAGATATTAGTTAGGGATTTTTAGTTTGTAATACTTAACTACGTTATAAAAAGTTTCAAACTCCAGTCATTAACGGGGGGAGACTTTGTGTAAAGTTCAATCATCTTAATTAATTAATTAATTAATCATATGTAATATAACTTTCTTTTGTGTAAGCAGATTTTGTTCTCATACCTCAGTCAAATTCATACGTGGGTTTTTTATTTATTGAAAAAGATTCTTAATTTATTTGCAAGATGCTGCAAATCGTGGGGCTAACTATGGTTTTGGATACGAATTTGACAAAATAAAAAGCAGCTTGCCCTGAATGACCAAACAATGGTTCAAGAATTTTGGCTCATTGTGGGTCACAGTTAGCTTAGTATCATGTATTTACTCGATCATAATGAATTGTACTTATTAAATTTAAATAGTTTCTCATCAAGCCAAATGATTCTATAGGAATTGTTGCTCGCATAAAAACATCTCAACAACAGTTGTATATGTGGGGGTAATAATAATAATATAATAATAAACATTTATTATTATTATTATTATTATTATTATTATTATGAGTTATTGGAAATATGTTTTTTTATTATAATATTTTAATGAATTGTTGAAGGGATCTTGGATTCAGAGGAGTTATTAACATAGAATTTTCTTTACATCATAAGAGGCAATGCATATGTGATACTTTTAGGGGTTTCAATAATTTTAAGTCATTAAAAATTACTGTTAGCTGTATTTTTAATATTATGATAAAAAATATTTTTTTTAAATGATGTGGTGGAATGAAAAATCTACAAGAAGAGAGTGTGATAAAAAATTCTCGTTAATATATATAATTTTTGTAGTTATTAAGGAGATAGGAAAAATGAATGTAAAAAATTTTACAGGAAAGAAAACGAATAAATGTTGTGAAATCTTATGAAAAATAATATAAATTTACCAATAATAGGTGTCCAACATGAGGAAGTTGGAAAAGAAAGGAAATAGAAGATCAAAATATGTGCTTAAGCCTAATTAAAGTGAGCTGTAATCTGACCCATATGAGAAAGTTACTTCCTGCACCCTAAATACTTTTACCTGCATCTCAATATATTTTAAAATGATAGCTTTGTCGTGCGCGAGTTTTGTCTCTTAATTGACCTCTGGGGGTACGAGTAGAAAGCATGGGTTGCATAAAGCAACTTCCCCTGTACGAACCCAACAAAAATAAAGTGTGAGCGAAAAAACAAAAACAAAAAAAGTGTTTCAAAAACCCTCCAATTCCAATCTGTATTTCCCTCTACGAGACCCAGAGTGGCTCTGTTATGAGCATGGACGCGTTCCTTCACCGAAGTAAATCCGCACCGTTTTGTAATCTAGCACCTCATTTCGGTGTTTTGTAAATTCTTGAGTTCACCGTTTGTTTATCTTTGAGAAATGGATAGGCGCCTCAACGGACTCACCGTTCCGTCGAGCTCCAACGGCGGCACTGCCGCTGTAAGATCTTCATCTCCGACGCTGCAACCAAACTACAGTAGCCGATTAGTTCAGGTACGCTCTAATCCTCTCAATTTTAACTTCCGCGCCCCTTGTTGCTAAACTACTTCGTAAACCCTAGCTGTCTGTCACCAACATGCTGTTTGGTTGGGAGTTTTATGTTCCTACCTTTTCCTTTATCATTTCAACTGCTTCAGAGATTTTGTTTATGTTTGAATTACGACAGGCTTCTACTACTGTTTGTGTTTCTGCTAGTTGAGTCTAATTGGCCTCACTAGTTTTTATTTTCTTTATTGAAATTATGTGCTTCAGCTATAGTTTCACTCTTTCTATAAACGTGCTCATAAATGTTGAGTGGAATTTTTTTTTTTGTTATTTGTTTGCATTGCCAGTGTTGAGTTAGACTCAGGTGGCAGCTTTGAGCTGTATACTGTGAACGGAGATTATCAGTGTAGTAGTAATATAGGTGCCAACCCTAATAGGTAATTGAACATATATCCTTTAATTACGTATTCTTAATTTATGAAGATTTTACTTCTCTGTCTTTAAAAGTTCAGGGATGATTTGTTATGGGTTTGTGGCTTGAGAACTTTTTACGGTACGAGAATGATCCATCAGTTAATCTGATAAATGGAGCGTGTATCACGTGTCAGACTAGCTGATAATTTTGTGAATCATGCATCCTAGTTCATCTACTGTTCTTATTCATAATTTTCTGTTTATGAATCATACATCCTCATTATTCATGTCAAAGGCTTTATTTGGTTGGTATTTCACTGAGTACTTACTGTGCCTTGTTCTGAAGCTGGAAAATTAAAAGATTGAATTTATGCTTTAAATGAGTTAATTTTCATGTTCCTGGTGCAAGATAGGGGTTAGTATTTCGTATCTGTGAAATATATAAGTACTGTAATGGGAAAATAACAGAAAATAAATCACTTGTGACGTTTGGTTTCAGGAAACATTGGAACACTTGGCATCCATTGATCTGATTGAGTTGTGCAAAGAAGCCAAAGTTGAGCGCTGCCGAGCAACTCGAGACTTGAGAAGTTGTGGTCGCTATGTCCACCATGTCTTGAATTCGTGTGGGCATGCCTCTTTATGTGAAGAGTGTAGTCAACGGTGTGATATCTGTCCAATTTGTAGAATCCCAATTTCAAAAAGTGGTGCTAAACTGCATCTCCGACTTTATTATGAGTGCATAGAAGCTGGCCTTATTTCAAAAAGGTTTGATGAGAGATTTCAGGAAATAGAAGACGGGGAGAAACAACTAACTGCTGATGTCCAGCACCTTTATTCTTTGTTTGATGTTGCACTTGAGAATAACTTGGTTTCTTTAATTTGCCACTGTATCCTTTTCTGCATCACTCCTTTTCTTGGCATATTTAATTTTATTAGTAATTCATTTATTAAAATTTAAAATATACAAATACCTATCAATTGGTAAGTAAGATTTTATGATTCAGATACAATTTTGTCCTATTAATGCTATGAAATGAGAAACTTAAAAGTTTTTTTTCTCCTCTATCCTCCCCCTTTTCATTTTCTTGACCAGAAATTTTACAGACATCACAGATGTGTGTATGGATGAAACTGCTGTTTCCAGTGATCCTGTCATAGCATTTTTGTTGGATGAAGTGGTAGTGAAGGATTGGTGCAAGAGGACGTTCAGAAACATCATTACTGAACTGCAGGGAATTTGTATCCTTAAACCTTGTTTTATTGTTGATAATTAAAGCCAATTATTAGTATGAAATTTTTCCATAATAATATTTGGGCTCCTTTACATTTTTCACTAGATAATATGGATGTTTTAGTCATGAAAGAGAGATTGAGTTTACTTTTGAAATTTTCATTATACTTGAAAGGTGTATCAAATGTGCTAGACATTTTGGAGTCATCTTTTAAGGGTACTCTTTCAGCACAACTTCATGATTTGCACCATCTCCAAGAGAGCATCTTAAAGACAAAGCAGGTTTAATTTTCTAGGATTCGTGTTCAATGGAGTTCTGTATAACTGTTGTACTTATGTTATGGCTTTAATATTTGAGCTTTTATACATTTCTTGATTGGCTGATGAGCTGTCAAATTATCATGATAAACTTGTGCTTATTATCTAATTTTAAAATGGTATTGCTATTGAATTTGTCTGCTGTGTTCTTCAAATGGTGTTGCCTGATTTTTGTTGGAAGGGGTTTTATACCTAGTCTTCAAAAGTGTGGATGACAACAGTAACCTTTGTTTTTGTAGCTCACTGTTTGTTTTTTCAATCAGCAAATGTTAATTGTTAGCAGGGGATTCGAACCCATTGTGTAGAAGTATGTAAGAGGGATGTTTGTAGAAATACTAATATTTGGCTTATTAATATTGCTTATAAGTGTGGTTGGCTAGATTTAGAATTCCTTTATCTGTGTTTATGTAGCTCAAAAATAGAGTAGCTCATTATAATTGTCATTAATTCTTTTTATGTCGTTCTACCCAGCATATGGATATTATTATTTGGTGTACAAGACATCAATTTTTGGAGGGTGTGAGATCAGGTTTTACAGATAGTTCATCATGGTCATCTGTTGTTCGGATGCGGAAATCAGAAGCAATAAGACGAGCTTGGCCTGATGCAATAAATCAGTCTATGGAGTCATCAGGAGATGAAGGGACTCTATTTATTGAAGATGCATTGAATAATCTTGATCTGGAGGAGGGTTTTACGAATGAAATTGTGGAAGGATTAGAAATTGCATCCTTGCAGAAGGATGGTGCATCATTTTTGGGGTCAAATACTGACCAGATGCTGGGATACTATCCCTTTAAAAATCTTCGTTCTGCTGCTGACTTGCTCTTTTTACATGGAGGCTCTGATACGGTGATTGCAAAACAGGCCATTGTATCCTTTTACCCACAACTTTTATTGTGGGTGTAGAACTATGTTTGTTGCTTCCAATAGTAGTTTGTATTTAAAGCAATACTTTCATTCCTTAACATCTGTAGTTTCTGTATTATTTGTATGATCGCCACTGGACAATTCCTGAAGAAGAATGGAGATACATACTGGAAGACTTTGCAGCTACATTTAGTATTAGCAGGCACTCATTACTTGAGTCTTTGACTTTTTATCTTTTGGATGATCACACAGAGGAGGCTTTACAGGTAACATCAACAGAATATTATATTCAATGTGTCTCGGGGAGGTTTGTTTACCCTGGTTTTAAAAGAAATTATTGAAATTATTTATCAATGTTGCTTTACTGATTTTCCTTTTCTTACTAACTAATGATAAGGATTATAGTTAGGAAAAATACGGGCACTATATGGTAATCATTATATTGGAATTTTATACGTGACCCTGATAATAAAGCAGTAAATGTGTAGTTAGGCTTTAGGTTTAGGTGTTATTTGGGTCTTTCTTTCATCTCTTTTATTTATAAGGTGTGTTCTCTCGTTTTAACTCAAAGTAAAATGTGGCACTTAAATTAATAATAGCTCCAAGAGTATTCTCTTCCCCATATAAGGGCTTATAAAGGATGCTTGGACTTTGGTGTAAAAATTTTGTATCATGTTCATATTGGATGTTAAAGTAAACTTGTTTCTTTTAGAGTTATATTTTTTGGTGAATTTACAGTAATAATATTTATTGTTCTGTTAGGAAGCTTGTCGCCTTCTTCCTGAAATAACTGGCCCAACAGCACATCCTAAAATTGCTGAAGTAATGTTAGAAAGGGGTAGCCCCGATATGGCTCTCATGGTTTTGAGGTGGGCTGGGCGTGACGGTGGACCACATATGACTTCACTCAGGGATGCTGTCACTGCAGTGCGGGTGAGGGTTGAGTGTGGGCTTCTGACAGAGGCATTTATGCATCAGAGGATTCTCTCCACCAGAGTGAAGGAAAAAAAATTGAATAAAAGAGCGTCTGGGGAAGCTTCTGAGAAACTAAATGATCAATGTAGTAATTGGGTTGAGGTCCTGGTGACTGAGATTTGTTGCCTCTGTATTAGGAGGAACTTGGTGGATCGAATGGTAGAATTGCCATGGAATTCTGAGGAAGAGGTGTACATACATAAATGTCTTTTTGATTATGCTATTGAAGACCCAATAAGGACAGCTGGAAATCTACTCGTGGTGTTTTATTTTCAGGTACTTAATCATTATCTGGTTCCTTGTTCAACATTGATGCTCCTGGTTTATTGATCTTGTTAGTCCATTTGTCTTACGGTGTTTTCAGTTTTTTACATTGGAATCTTGTAAGTGTTAATCTGCTACCCAGTGTCGAGTTATGTTCCGAATCATGCATATGATTCAACACTATTGAGAACCTATTTTACAAAGCTTATTTTTTATAACAAAACAATGCCTCCTTATCTATCTTTAGCACCAACCATCTTTATATCTTTGCTAGCCAAATACCCCATCCAGGGGCGAATATAATCCCTACTCACTTTACCTGCTTTCATCCACTGCTGAGAGAGAACCGTCTGCCAAAATTGCATTCATTCCCCCTGTTGAACTTGGATTCGGTATTGGCTTAATATGCAACTTGCTTCCGGGATTTTCTTGACACAGTCCTCGTCTACAATCTTGTATATATGGTCATCTCATCCATACCTACAATAAAGCAGAAAAAGCGGATATGAATGATGTATCCTGACCGTTACTTCTTTCCTGTATAGATGTGATATCTGGTTTCCGAATCTTGATCTGTAGATCTTAATGTGCTGTTAACCTCGATATCAATGTGAAATTTCTACGTACCTCACATTCCTTTTCGATTGTCATTTCCTCTGTAGATAAATATAAAGTTCATTTTGCCTCTTAAAGTGTCAGGGTAGTTTAGCATATCTGTGAAAGAATTTCTGGCTTATATATTTATCTTGGTTTCAGCGCCACAGATACTTGGAAGCATATCAAGTTCATATTAAACTTGAAAAGGTGGAGCAGGACTGCATTTCAAAAGGTTCTGTAAGTCAAGAATTTCTGCCAAAATTAGAAAAGGCTATTCACTGGAGAACTAATTTAATTGTAAGTGATTTAAATTCTTCAATTTTTAAGCAAATGTTTTTCGCCACAAACTTATTATTTAGCCTGTTTGGAAAAAATGTCATTCCTAATCTGGATTTGTGGTCGTTTTATGTTTGAATAAAACAGAATAGATGCTTGGAGTTGTTGCCAGAAGTTGAGCAGCAGCAACTGAGGAGTGGAAACTTGACTGAGGGTGCTGTGAGTTCTCGTGAAGAAGTTGAAATTCCTGACAAATTTGATATTCCTCAGATTCCGGATTCCTTGTCGACCAGTTTATTGATTCCTTCATCTGCAAATTCTTCCTTGTTGCATAGAGACCATCCAACTGGTTTGTTGAGTTCATCGACTTTAGGAACTTCAGCAAAAATAGGTATGTCTTTCCCCATTACTGGCCCTGAGCTTGGTAAGTTTGGTTCATCGTCTTATCATGATGGGTTATTTACCAATAATGAGAGGGTTCTAAGTCATCAAGGTAAAATTGGCAAAAATCTTAGATTTGATAACACTCCTACACCAATGAAGCATGGGATCCATTTCATGAATGGTTCACCTCTCAAGGGATTTAAGAGGACATCACCAAGCAATTCCCAGGAAAATATGCCAGACAAAACCTCTCCTGGAGTTGAACGAAATCTACTCTTTGGCCATAATCAAACTACTACCAGAGGTCCTATGTACTCGTGGAAGGCTACAAACCATGTTATTAGATCCACACTTAGCTATCCTAAAGAATTTGCAAATGATCTCCCAAATATATCTAGCAGGAATGTCCAATCACATAAAGATGATAGAAGTTGGAACATGGGGTCCACTAATGATCCAATGGATGTTTCTCAGGGGTAAAAATCTAATGCTTTTTAACATTCACCGAAAATGGTCTATTTACGTAAACTGAAATCCTTTTTTTGTGTACTTTATTTCTTTAGCCTTTTAGAGAAGAAATTAAATGCTGAAGAAAACATCAATGGTGGACCTAGATGGAGATCTGATGAAGCGAGTGATGAGGAAGATGATCTGGATCGAGGAAGAGCTATGGATATAGCTTATTATGCAACTCCTCCAACACGGACAAGACGAAGCAGAGTTGTCAGGAGATGAAATCTCAAACTTTTTGGTGTAAGGTTTCGGGAACTTTTATGCGAAGAAACAAGAAAATGCAAATGTTAATGAGTTGTTTTGAAGTTGAGAGCTTCGCGTTTTTGGAACTCCGGGAGTTTTTACTTATAACATTTACGCTGGTCTCCATTGTGCAGCTAATATTCAATGAAGAAATTTTAATGCAAAAGGTGCATTTTCGTATCCCATTCCCCTCCAATGTTAATCTTAGTTATTTTATTTTCTATTTTTGGAGACGGGTTCGTTTAAAATGAATATTTTGAGAGTATCTTACCATCTCCCAGTAGGGTGGTGTATCTGATGTATTGGGAGATGATCCAGTTTACAGAATACTTAATCACGGGAAAGGATAATATTTTCAATTTTAATATGATAAGTTCATGTCTAAGTTTTATTTATCTCTATTTTTAATTTCTATTTATATTAAGATATAATGTAATGTTTCAGGAGAGATATAAATATAATTTCTCCGTATCTTTTTGCATGGAATATACTTAGGGTGCTTTGGATCGATAATAATTATCTATTTTATAGATTATAAAATTCGAGTTTACAGAGAGAAATTTTAATATTTTGGATAGTTATTATGCGAAGATTTTTATATTTAAGGATTTTGGAGAAAAAAAGAAGTTAATTGCTTCGAATAAATTTAGGAAATAAAAATTTTGCTTAATTTAAATGTAATGAGGAAAAAGTATAATTAAAAAATGTTATTTTATGATATGTCACTGTTCATGTAACGAGTGTCCATATGAATTTTTAATCGCTAACTATCTTGTTTTCTTTTTAATAAGCTCTAAAATCGAGTCTCTATTTTAAGAGTAAACATACATCAAAATGAAAAACCATGCAACTGGACACTTTCTTTAGTCTTATTTATTATGTAACTATATAAATTCTTAGTTGGATTTTTTTAATCAAACATAATTGTGGATTGCTTTATATTCTTTAAGAAATCCAAAGTTGTTAAACGTCTCTTTATATCTGTTCGAATATTTTACATTCAAACATTTTTTTTAATCATTCATGTATTTTTCCTCCTATTTAGTTGTTGATAAATTTTATTGATTCATCAAAATTTAAACAAATTGAGATTTATAAAAAAAAATTAATTCAGTATGTCCTTTTTTATCGAAAATCTTTTCTCGTTTACGTAATAAAAAATCTAATATTTAATGTTTCAGAAATCTAACTTTTTTTTTTCAAAAATTAAATCCTATCTTTACTCTCTTTTTTTTTCCTTTATATCTGCATAGAAGCAAATAAAAGGTATGATACTATCTAAATTAAATAACGGTTTTTCTGTTTTTTCTGTTTTAATTTTTCTTTTACTATTATTTTTAATATCAGTTTTTCCTTTTTTTTTTAATGAATTGAGGTGGTTATTTTAGTATTGCTTGAAAAAAAGTCATATAACACTAATATAATCATATTTATTATTATGACATTAATTAATATATATTAAATAACATTATTAATTATGTGTTATGACAGTACGTATAAATAAAATATTTTTATTAGATAATTTAAAGAAATTATTAAAGTACAAATAATAATAAAAAATTATAAAATAACGAAGAGAAAATAATTTAATCTTAACTAAATAAAAAATATTAAGTTATTATTATGATATATATTTAATTTAACATAATAAAAATATCGATAAATATTTCTTGTTTCATTTATATTTACATCAAATTAAATAATCTAATAATACAACACTAACAATGAAAAAAAATTAAACATACCAATTTTAACTGTTTTTATGACTATTTTTTAATATAAAAACTGTTATTATTATTATTGTTTTGATAAATGTACTGTTTTTAGTAAGTAAAGAAAAGAACTGCAAACACATATTGTATTACTTTTGACTAGTTCAAACATTAAATGTGATGAATTTCACATCACCTCTACGTCATACCAGTGTTTTGACCTTCTAATACGAATGGAGAACCTAATTGCTGGTAAAGTATGCTTTCATAACTGTGGAACCTTTCTGAAGGAGATGTCTGCAACGTCCAATCTTCCGATCATAGATCTCTCCTCACTTCATCGGCTTTCCACTGTCCATTCCATCCGCCAGGTCAATCTTCCATCCTTACCCCTCAATCTTTTGTCAATATTTTCGTATTAAGATATTTTTTATTATAATTTAGAACATAAAAAAAATATTATGATATTATTTTAATTTAAAAATTCATGAGATATTATTAATACGTAATATTTTATTATATTTTTATTTTATATATACATGAACATTCATACGTTTGAGAAAGCAATTCACCTTTATCATATGTATCAATTTTTTCATTTTTTCTTTTGAATGACTACATTTATGAGAAGATAATTACATCATTTGATTTATAAGTGAAAATCTCAGTTAAAATTAAATTTTAGAGGGAAAAAAAGTGAAAACAAAATTGTATTTATATATAAGTATTTCAGGAACGATTTTATCAAAATCATAACTTTAAAATTATTTAAAGAATTTTGAGATTATTTGAAAGAAAAATATAAAACTTACAAAGAGGGACAAAAGAGTTTTAAAAGAAAAAATTTTAACGACCAATTAGGTTAATATCATTACTAAAAACAAAACTTCGAGAAACCATAATTGTTTGAGAAAAAATTGTTAAAGAGAAAAAAATATTACAACAAATATATATTAAGAAGGAGAAAATCGAAAAGTTATTAAAGATCAAAGATAAAACTTTTAAGTAGAAGGATGAAGAGCTCAAAAAACATAATAATAAAATTAAGAAGGTTTGGTTGAGTTGAAAAAACTATACTGAGTTATACCTATTATAAATTTGACTAAGAAGGATAACAAGAAGAAATGAGTGTTTTGAGAAAAAAAAATATTTTCCAATATATATTTTTGAAAGAAAGATAAATGAAATGAGATTAAAAAAACAAATTTAAGATGTTAAGGAATAAGTGGAAGATTGTATGTGTAAAAAAGAAAAAGACTTTATAACACAAAGTATTATGTCTAGAAAAAAACATAATTTACAAGTAAATTATAAAGAAAAAATATGATAATAACAAGATAAAATTGAATGAAATGATAATGTTCTTAAAAAAAAAGACAAAAATTATAATAGAAGAAGAAGAAAAAAATATATCAAATTTAATTTTAAGGATATTTTATTATTTTTTTTATTATTTAGAATGAGAATGAAAAAATATTATTATTTCAATTTAAATAATTATAATTAAAATATTATTAATATTTAATATTTTGATACATATTTACCGAGAAAAACTCCACTATATCCAGTATATCTCATGAATCACAAATTCATAAATAAAATCCTAAACATTCCCGTGTCCAACAAAACAAGCCTAAAAGATTTTGAACTAATATGCCAAACATTATCATTCTTTCCTTCATTGCATTTCTGTGAATGTAATAGGCCTGCATTGAATATGGTTTCTTTTACCTAGTCAACCACGGCATGGAGAATGATCTGGCCAAAGCCTTTGATGAGAGTAGAAGATTCTTCTCTCTTCCCCTCCAAGAAAAAATGAAGTTGGCCCGCAAGGAAAATAGAGGTTATAGTCCTCTGGATCCTACTTTAGTCCCCAAAGGTATTTTACTATTTTTCTTTTGTTGTTAATTTCAGTTACTCTACTTGGACATGCCCTGAGATTGAGGGTATGTTGGATTAGACCAGCCTTATATGATGATCAAAGCTGAAAACCATTTGAGAAGTGTGTTAGTATCATACTTTCTGTCCAACACATTATCTATTGCTGTGTATTTCATGTAGGTCTCACTAAATATATGAATTTCATTTCCAAACCAGTGAAAGAATGAAACCTACATGAACTTCAATCAACATGAAAGAGTGTTAGAAAGTGTCTTAAACTGTTGGTGCCCTTTTGAAATGGTTCATTCTCTAGAAAGAAGGCGAACTTCTCACCATTGTTAATAATGATCTGATCAGGTGATTCAAAAGAGTTCTACTATATTGGTCCTTTAGCAGATTCAACAAGTGCTTATCTGAATCAATGGCCTTCAGAAGGTACGGTTCTCTCCCAATTGCTTTGCCCTATATATATTGTATCTTTTCATTACATATGCACAATTTGTGGCTGCGTACACCGACGTACGAGAGCTTTATTTGAGATATTTGTCTTGCAAGGAAGCTTCAGAGTTACTTAGAAATTGGAGACCTTCAATGGAATCCTTGTATTCGAAATTCTTGTAAGTTGAATCACCTTCAATGGCCCTAAATAAATTATTAATTGTATTAAATCTATACTGCATAGGTTTCCCTAGTATTTTGATTTAGAATTTTATGTTCAAGAATCCTCTCTCTGCATGTGCGTGTAACGTTACTCATGTGCACGTTTTCTATTGCTCTTTCTTATCAATTTAGAGGTTATTCCTTGTTTTCTTCTCTCTGACACAGTGGAGTTGGAAAAAAGTTGTTATCTCTAATTGCCCTTTCCTTGAATCTGGACGAGGATTTCTTCGAGAAGATAGGTGTCATAGATAAACCAGGAGCTTTTCTTCGCCTTTTGCACTATCCAGGTTTAGTAACATTGATTTTGCGGAACATCATTGTTAGACTCATACGATATTATAGCATTATATATGTCTGTTAATGTGCTTCAAAGTTCATCTTCCTTTCATATATATATATATATATATATATATATATATATATATATATGCAAGTTCTATCTCCTTATTTGTATTGATAACGTGCTTTCCAACTTTATTAGGTGAAATGGGACCTCACGAAGAGATATGTACTGCTCATTCAGATTTTGGTACACTCACCCTTCTATTGACTGATGGAGTCCCAGGACTGCAGGTTCTCACCTCCATTTTTGAAGTATTTTTTTTAAAGCAAGTTATCCTAAGAAATAAGTCTCACATTATCTAGAACTAAAATTCTCGTTTAAAAGTTTGTGATCATATGACAAATCACAGTCTAAAATTACTTTACAGTATTTTTTCCTTCTATTTTTTTCGTGTAGACATTTCTTGATACATTATATCTTTTAACCATTGTTGTAACTGCACATTCTACACTTTCATCTCTTTTGACGTACTGCTACGTTATATATCAATATCACTCATTTTCTTTTCTTAATCCTATGAAAAAAAAAAAGAGAGACAAAAGCATGATAGATATTAGTTTTCTGAGAGTTTGGTATTGCTCTTGCTCTCTCCCTCACTTCTTGCTCTTCCGTGGTCCACATTTGATTTCTTAATTCTCTACTAGTCTGTTGCTAAGATTTCGTTTCAGAAATTTTGTCAAATCCTGGGATTATCCAGTGTCACAAATAGATTTGTCCACAAAAATCTATCTATAGCAAGGACACCAACCCATGTCCTATAATCTAGTAATTTCTTCCGTTTATAATTCTTGAATTCAAGTACTTTGATATTTCTTTTAAATTTTTCAGATCTGCCGGGACAATTTAGAGGAACCGCAAGTGTGGGAAGATGTGCCTCATATGGAGGGGTGAGTTCATGAATATATATAAGTTTGTGTAGAATTTATTGATACTCTACATTAACAATATACAAGTTGAATATAGAGTTGATGTTTTGAGTTTGTATGTTCAGGGCCTTTATTGTGAACATAGGAGACTTGATGGAGAGGTGGACAAATTGTTTATACCGGTAATAAATCTCATTATCCATATCAGCCAAAAGTGATCAATTTAATTTGTTTGTTGGTTTACATGATGTTCTTAACTTATCATTCATGAACTTCGTAGGTCAACAATGCATCGAGTTATCCAAACTGGCAAAGAACGTTATTCGGTAATCATAACAAATAACTTGGTTACTATTTTTCCATTGTCTTTATGGATTAACGGTTTATCAGGAGTAGTGCCTTTAATTCCTAGTTTACTACGTAAGAGAGCATATATGTTGTGTGTTTCTTTTTCTCTTCTTAACTACGAAAATGAATTGTGCTCTGCCCCACTGGGTAAGCTGTGTAGTTGATGTCATTTACATGTATGATGACAACACTCTGATTTGGTTAATATTAAGATTTTTTAAAAACTAGTATGTAATTAGATCCTTTTAATTGTCTTTTTTAGATTCTCTTTAGTTTGTCTTTGTCTCTCTAATGAAAAATCTCTCTCATTTTGAGAGGGTGTACTCAGCTTATATCAATTAAATATACTATATAAAATTATAGTATATAAATCAGTAAAATCCTTATTTGTTGAGTTGGTTTCACAATATTAAATTAGATATTTCATATTTTTAATAGTTTTAGACGAATTGTTGGCTGAATAATTTTGATAATCTCTTAATTGTTTATCCCTCACAATAATAACTATTTTTGCAAGGCAAGAGACTGTCATTCTTCTTTTCATATTTGTTGAATGTTTGATCTCATATAACTGGTAAAAATCTGCTACCCAAAACACCAATTTTTTTAACTCTGTTTTTGTGGCATTTTGGCAAAGTCATGTTGGCTACTAGTAGTTAGTTTGGTAAGGGATTTCCAGTGACACGTTGATTAGATTATCAGTAAAAATTGTTTGTATTTTGCAGATGGCATTCTTCTTAGACCCACATCCTGATTGTGTAGTGGAATGCCTTGAAAGTTGCTGTAGCGAATCAACTCCTCCAAGGTAAACTAAATTTGTTCTCTTATTTGGATTCATACAACCGAACAGAGTCTATAACAACATCGATTGATTAAACAAATCAACTTAACTCTTGTAGATACTAAAACACACACAAATTTACATGCATTCCTTAAATTTTATTGAGATAGATTTTTGTTCATGTTTCACTGCAGATTCGCTCCAATCCGCAGTGGAGACTATATGAATGAGCGTTTCAAAATGCAATCAGCTTGACAAGAATTCAAAATGTTCCATCTCTTTCTGTAGAAGAGTTAAGCTTGTTGTTCATGGGGTTGTAAAATAAATTTCTTGACACAGGAACACTAAATAGTTCATCATATCTTCCGTGAAAGCCTGTGATTTCCATATATGGTTCTGCATAATAGATGCTCCAACCCATTCGCAGATTTAAAACGAAACTAAGATTATTGCTAAGTCTTCTCAGAAGTAAAGCAAATGTCGTTAACCATGAAATTAATTCAACTTGAAAATTGTTATTTTTTTTTTTCTAAGCACAAGTTGCAAAATCAACAGTGCACTTAGGTGACAAAAATTAATGTTTCAGGTATGTTTAAATCTCATAACATAATATTTTAAAATTGTGTGTTAAAGGTGATGTGATTTATAGCTGAATTTTCCTTATAGTCCCACCCATAAAAAATATAGTAATTCTTAATACTTTTTACCCCTTTATCTCTTAACTTTTGTACAGCTATTTTTCTTTTCTTACTTATCCTTTTAGCTTATATACATACATATTGAAATAATGCAATTGCAATTGAAACAGAGCAGGGGTTGCAGGTTGGAGGACAAAAATATATAAGAAAATGTGTATATGCCTTTTTATATTGTCTTATATTAGATAATCATAACAATTGAGAATAGCTCCCAATTTTCGTGCTTAATATTTAATATAATTATTCCACGTAAATAAATTATATATTTTATTATGATAAAATAAATTACATATCTGAGCTAAAAAAATTACATATTTTAATGGTAAACGAGTTAGTGTCTTGATATATATATATATATATATATATATATATATATATATATATATATATATATATATATATATTTAATATAAAAAATTATATATTTTACTCCGACGAAATATATATTCTATTGAAATAAACGTTTTATTGAGATATATATTTATTTAAACAAAGGAGTTACGTACCTTATAATACATTGGACTAAATAAATTATACATCTTACTTGATTAAGTTATATAATATTTTATTGATAAGATAAAATATAATATAAATATTTTGGGTATTATAGTTTTAGTAATTTTATGCCAAACAAATAATTAGCAACCAGCTTAAAACTAAATTATCTCTTAGGATATCATATAAAATGTTATAAATAAATACAAAGAAATATCATTATCAACATCACCCCAAAATGTCATCAAATCTTTTACCTCAAATGTCATCAAATCTTTAATGAAAATTGTTTCGTTGATCTGTAATGAACATAATTATAGTTTTATCATAAACTTGAGTGACGCCACATAATATTGTTGATATCTAAAGGTTGTTGTCATATATCAAATACTACAATGTTTTGATATTATAAATTATTATGAGCATTATGTCCAATTAAAGTTTGGTTATTTTAATTTTTTTATTAAATCTCGTTCATTATTGTAAAAATTGAAAAATGTTCACAGGCAAAACAACATGACCGATTTCCATGCTTAAGGATATCCTAAAATAAGGGATATGAAAATCTATATAATAAATTTATATCACAGAAAATACTAAGTTGAACCATTTTATATTCTAATTATTCTTTTACTGACTTACAAAAAATTATTATAAACAACTAAATATCATAGCGTGAAGACAACTAAATATTATTTAAACTAGGAAGATACAGAAGCAAAGTTTAAAATTAAAGAAGCATGTTTCTCATATGCGATTGTTCATACGGTTGGTATAAAAAATTGTGCAAACATTTTGAGAATGGTGTAAAAGTCAAAAAATGAAGGTAAACAACTATGGTAAGATATTTATTGAAGACAAACTCATAAGACAAGTAATATGTTAAACAATAATTATGATAGCTTACATAAATGGATTTGACATGTTGGAATGAGTCATAGGAGAGAGTGCGGTAGCCAAACATAATCATGAACCAAACCTAACGTAATGAAACAAACAAATCCCATATCAAACCATGCGATTAATATTAAATAAGTTGGAGGCAATCCAGGGCATGATCTTATTTCGTAAGGAATATCAAATATAATATCATATATTTACAAATAATAATTGTAGGCATATATTAATTTGAAGATAAAGTAGCCATGCCAGGACTCAAGAACCTGCCATTATTGGAACTAAGAAGAAGGAAGAAGATATCAGCAACGAAACCATGAACCTCCCTATCATAGATCTCTACTCACCTCATCCTCTTTCCACCGCCATTGCTATCCGTCAGGTTCTTCCTCTTTTCCAGTATTCATTTCATAAATGTGCATTATATCATCCTATTTTGCATATGTAATTTAGAACAGAGATAGAGCAATTATATGTTGATTTTCATGAACTGCGTTAATAGGCGTGCATTGAGTATGGTTTCTTTTACCTTGTTAACCACGGGGTGGAGAATGAGTTGGGGAAAGCCTTCCATGAGAGTAGAAGGTTCTTCTCACTTCCAATGGATGAGAAAATGAAGATGGCTCGCAAGGAATTTAGAGGTTACACTCCTCTGGACCCTACTTTAGGCCTCCAAGGTATTTTCTTTTTCTATCTAGCTAGTTGATTTCAGGCTCTGATAATATATTTATGTTATGAAATGGTTTATTTTGTGCATGCATCACGATGATCAGGTGATTCAAAAGAGAGCTATTATATTGGTCCCATGGCAGATTCAGCAAATGTTAAGCTCAATCAATGGCCTTCTCCAGGTTTGGTTGTGTTGGTTTCGTTGAATATGATGAACTCTTTGTGGCTTCCTACGTCTTATTTTAGATATCTGTGTTGCAAGTACACTTCAGAGTCACTTGGAAATTGGAGATCATCAATGGAATCCTTCTACTGGAAACTCTTGTAAGTTTTTTGGTTGAAATCTCCAAGTATTTTCGTAACCTTATTCTGTTCGATATTGATTATAAAATTAGTTTTTAATATGAGATTTGGTTATATAGAGAACTTTTTACCCTTTCAATATTATACGTTTGATGTGTGAGTTTGAAATTTTACCTACTTATAAATAGAAAATTAAGTAACTTGTAAGTAAAAAAAGACTTATAATATAATGTTTTAAGGTTTTAGGTTGAGAGTGATGTCATATTCTCTTATATGATTGACTTGGGTCTCATTTGTGAGAATCTCTATATTGATAGCCTCCTCGAAAAGACTCAACAGTAGTATTAGAGTCGTGTTGCATAGTCATTAGAATAATGTTGGAGAAAATTCTTAATATGTTCTGTGCATCAGAAAAAAGTTATTTTTGTTACTTTTTATTACTGGATATTATTTGATAGTATAAAATGTCTAGGAAGGTTTTGACCTGAGTACTGATTCACGGTCTACTATTGTTGTTCCAGTAGATAATATTATTCATAGTAAGGATTTTGAATCATGACAATAAAATATGAGATAGAGAAGTTTAATGGGAGTAATTTATCATTGTGAAAATTGAAGATAAAGACAATCTTGAAGAAGGACAATTATATTGATGCAATTGCGGAAAGAACCGCGGAACACACGGATGAACGACAATGCTATTGTGAATTTGCACTTATCAATGACATATTTGGTTTTATTCAGTGTTGCAGAGAAGACTATTGCGAAGGAGATTTGTGATACCCTTATTACTACAGGAGATTTGGGATACCCTCATTAAACTATATGAGGTGAAATCACTTCACACAAGAATATTCTTGAGGAGAAAACTCTATACTTTTCGGATGAGTGAGTCCACATCAGTGACACACCACATCAACCATTTGAATACCTTGTTTGCCCAACTATCAGCGGTAGAGCTTCTACTTTAAAGTTTACCTGATTCTTATGATAAATTCATCATCAATACTACAAATAATAATATTGGTGTGAATATGTACTTTGAGGATGTCGCCGGAGCTATTCTTAAAGAAGAATCCAGGTGGATGAGTAAGGGTGAAAGTTCCGAACAAGCAGAAACTTTGACAATGATGAAAGGAAAATCAACAGAACATGGTTCAAGTAAGAATCAAAATAATGATAGATCGAGATCTCGAAGTAAGACAAGTTCTAAAATCAAATGCTACTTTTGTGGTAAGAAAGGACATACGAGGAAAGAATGTTGGAAGATGAAGAATAGAGAAAACAACTCTTAAAAGTCAACCCCACAAGGTTGTGTTGTAAGTACCTCAGAAGATGGAGATATTCTAGTGAGCGAAATAGTAATTACCTCTATTGGTGAAAAGGAGTTTCATGACAAGTGGATAGTGGATTCAGGTGCATCATGACACATGATTCCGCACCGAGATTGATTCTCAGGTGGATCTCTCTTCATGGGAAACAAACATGCTTTGGAGATTACTGGAGTTGGTATCGTAAAAATTAAAATGTATGATGATACTGTTCGTACAATTTAAAGGGTATGACATGTGAAGAACTTGAAGAATTTTTTTTGTCCATTGGGCAATTAGATGACCTTAGGTGTAAGATCCATGTTGAAGGTGAAATCTTGAAGGTGGTGAATGGGAGTTTGGTGGTCATGAAGGCAAAGAAGATCATAGCAAATTTGTATGTGCTGCTTGGAGATACGTTGCAAGAAGCGAATGCATCAGTTACAGCAACAAGTCAGGAAGATGCAGTGATTATGTGACATCATAGACTTGGTCATATGTCAGAAAGTGGTATGAAAATCCTTGCAGAACGTAATTTCTTACCCGGGCTTAAAGAAGTTAGTTTACCCTTCTGCGAGCACTATGTGATAAGCAAGTAACATAAATTGAAGTTTGTTAGAGTGACTGCTAAAAGTAAACACATATTGGACTTGATTCATTTTGATGTGTGGGAATCGTCGGTACTATCCCTCGGAGGAACAAAATATTTTGTATCGTTCATTGATGATTACTCTAGGAGATTGTGGGTGTACCCTATCAAGATGAAGTCAGATGTATTTTCACAGTTCAAAGAATTCAAAACACAAGAAGAACTTGAAATTGGGAAAATAATTAAGTGTTTGAGGACAGATAACGAAAAAGAATATGTAGATGGAGAATTTTAGCATTTTGTAAGCAAGAAGATATCATCAGACAATTTTCTATCCCACATATGCCTCAGCATAATGGTATAGTAGAGCGGATGAATAGAACTCTCCTGGAAAGAACTAGAGCTATGTTGCGAACAGTTGGAGTAACCAAGTCTTTTTGGGCAAAAGCGATTAAAACTACATGTTGTTATAAATCGGTCCCCATCAACCGTCATTGGTTTGAGCACACCAATGGATATATGGAAAGGTAAACCAACTGATTATTCATCCTTACGTGTTGTTGGTTGTCCTATGTACGTGATGTACAACTCTCTCTCTCTCGAGAGAGAGAGAGAGAACAAAATTGGATCCAAAATCCAGGAAATATATCTTTTTGGGCTATGCTGATAATGTGAATGAGTATCGCCTTTGGGATCCTACTTTCCACAAGATTATTATTAGCATAGATGTAGTATTTGCAGAAAATAAACTGCAAAGTAAACAGACAAATGACAGCTTGATAAAGGACAATGTTATAGTACAAATAGAAAAGAAGTCTTCAGATGAATTTTCTGAGTCAGAAGAGGAGCACGAAGATCAAGAACCAAATAAGGTTGGTAATGGAGATCTTCGGCAGTCAACACGAGAAAAAGTCAGACCATCTTGACATTCACAATATGTGATGACAAATCATGTGCGTATTGTCTTCTAAATGAAGAAGGAGAACCTTCAACTTTTGAAGAGGCTGAGTTGTTCATATGCTTATCTGTAGATGACTGCAATGTAGGAAGAAATTAAGGCTCTTCATAAAAACAAAACATGGAATCTTGTGGAACTTCCGAAAGGTCGAAAAACTATTGGTTGTAAATGGGTCTATAAGATTAAAAGAGATGACAATGATCAAGTAGAAAGATATCGTACTAAATTGGTGATAAAAGGGATATGCTCAGAAAAAATGTATTGATTTCAATGAGATATTCTCGCCGGTTGTTAGATTGACGTCCATCAAAGTTGTCCTAGTTGCATTTGATTTACATCTTGAACAATTGGATGTAAAAACTATTTTTCTTTATAGAGATCTTGAAGAGGAAATTTATATGCTTCAACCAGAAGACTTTAAAGAACAAGAAAATTTGGTTTGCAGGTTGACCAAATATCTATATGGTCTAAATCAGGTGCCCAGATGTTGGTATAAGATATTTGATTTCTTTATTATTTGCCTTATTTACAATAGATTGAACTCAGACCATTGTACATATTATAATAGATTTTGGTGATAATGATTTTGTTAGCTTGTTATTGTATGTGGACGACATGTTAGTAGTAGTCCTCAACATAGATCGAATTCATGACTTAAAGGCACAACTAGGGAGTTTGACATGAAGGACTTGGAACCAATAAACAAGATTTTAGGGATGAAAGTTCATAGAAACAGAAAAGATAGAAGGTTTGACTTTCTCAGAAGAATTACTTACTGAAAATCTTGTGGTGCTTCAACATGCAAGATTGCAAGCTAATTTCCACCTCACTTCCTATTAATTGTAAGTTATCCTCAAGTATGAGTCCCAACAATGAAACGGAGAGGACAAAAATGTCTTGAGTACCATATGCATCAGCAGTGGGAAGTCTTATATAAGTCATGATTTGTACAAGACCAAACATTGTACAAGCAGTGAGAGTAGTTAGTAGATTAGAGTAGTTAGTAAATTCATAAAAAATCCTCGTGGAGAGCATTTGAGTACTATAAAGAGGATCCTTAGATGCATCAAATGAACCTCAGGTGTTGCATTATGTTATGAAGGATCAAAATTAGTTGTCAGAAGCTATGTTGATTCAGATTTTGCAGGTGACTGGATAAAAGGAGATCTACTACTGGTTATGTGTTTACAGTTGCAGGAGGGGCAATAAGTTGGTTATCCAAGTTACAGGATGTTGTAGCTCTGTCTACCACAGAAGCTGAGTATATGACAGCCACCCAAGCATGTAAGGAAGTTATTTGGATTAAGGAGATAATGGAGGAACTCGGGCATGTTTGGGAAGTAGTGGAAGAAGGATGTGTGGATATGCAAAAGATTCACACGGATGAGAACTTAGTAATTGTTATAACAAAGTCAGTTAGTATTGACAAGTTTGTATGGAGTCGATCCTACTATACCCTAACAGAAAAATAAGCAACATGGATGACAAGAATAAAACAAACATGATGTGAAGATTTGATTAGTTTAATCAAAATCTTCAAGTGAAAGATTGTGAGAAGAGAAGTCCCACATTAGACAAATCTTACTTTGGTGTTTACTTTTCTTATAATAAAACGAGTATAGTGTTTACCTTGTAAAACACATCAAAATCACTTCCGTTTTTTTTTTTTTTTGCTTTAATTCTTGAGAAATGAATTAAGAGAAAAAAATAGTTTCTCCTTTCATATTTTCTTAGAGTTGTTTTTCCTTTATTTTCAAGAGAGGGTATTATTGTTTCCTCCTTGTATGTAGAGAGAATGATTGTAATTTCTTTTATTAGTAGAATTACTCTTTTACCTATTGTTGGTATTTTTCTCATCTTTTTATTTTAGTTGTATGTTTATGCTTTTGTCTGATACCTAACAATGGTATCAGAACCGATGGTTTATCCGATGACCGACTCAGTTGAGTATGATTATAGTCGGTAAAAGGTGCTTTTGTCAAAAGTGTTCTTGACAAAGGTTTTATGCAAGCAAGTCCCGTTAAGTTGAAGGTACAAGTTAGGTTATTACTAGGTACTCATAGCTAAGAAATGTTTCCGTTCGAGGGGGAGTTATACCAATGTGAAAGGGAATCACATTTGAGGAGAAGATGTTAAAAATTCAAATATGAGTTTGAAGTCGCACATTTGATAGAAATGAGAAAGTTGACTGATTTATAAGTGAGAATGACTCATGATCTAATACCTTAAGGTTTTTTATTAAAAATGGTATCATATTTTCTTATACGGTTGACTCAAGTCTCATTTATAAAAAATTGTCTATTGTTAACTCTCGTAAGAACGGAACATTATATTACCAACTTTTTTGTAGTAATTTTTCAGTTTTTTACCCTCTTTTCCAAACACTCCAATTAGAATATTATTTTATTTTCTATGAACTTGAATTTAAATTCATGTACTGTATAAGAGAAATATTTTAAATATACAAAATAAAAAATAAATTACGGTACAGTAATATTTATAATTTTTTTGGTGCAGTAGAAATATAAATATTATTTATAAATTGAAATAGATTTTCAATTAAAAAAGTTAAATATACATGTAAAGGCAAAAGAACGATGTATAATTTGATATTATTGGAAAAATTAATTTATGGCTACGTTGTTGCGATAATGTACGAAAAGAAAGAATTATCAGCATAGTCTCTAACATCATTTTTATTATTAGTTGAAATTTGTCCAAAGTTATAAAACTGTGTGAATTTCATCTTTAGTTTTATGAACTCGCCATAATTCTATAATAAATTATAATCAAGAAAATAAGTCGAATTAAAGAATGCATGTGTATTCATGTAAAACTTTTGTATTGTTCTTTGTTATTCATTTAGAAGTTATTGATGTTGTTTTTCTGTGGCACAGTGGAGTTGGAAAAAAGCTGTTTTCTCTAATTGCCCTATCCTTGGATATGGATGAAGATTTCTTTGAGAAGATAGGTGCCATAGACAAACCATCAGCTTTTCTTCGCCTTTTGCGTTATCCAGGTTCATTTTTAACCTACAAATTCACGTTCCCAACCCTCTTGGTTACTCTTATCATATATATGTATATAGCATTGTTTTGCATTATACATGTTTGATAATGTGTTTCAGAGAACTCTCCCTTTGGGAGGAATGGCCGTTAACATAAATAGTTACATGTTTTTCATATCTGGTGTTAGGTGAAATGGGAGGTCACGAAGAGATATGTTCTGCTCATTCAGATACTGGGGCACTCACCCTTCTCATCACTGAGGGAGTCCCCGGGTTGCAGGTTCTTCCCTTATCTCCAATCCTTTAAACCCTTGAGTGTTTCATTTCATTATCATATTTTCAGATCTGTCGGGACAAGTCAAAGGAACCACAAGTCTGGGAGGATGTGCCTTACATGGAGGGGTGAGTTCATGAATACATAATAACTTGTGTAGAATTTAAATGAATCTCACTGAAATGTGTTCTCTACTCTACACCATCAAAGTTGGATTAAAAATGTACAATGTGAATATGGTGTTATTGTTTTGAGTTTGCATGTTCAGGGCCTTTATTGTGAACATTGGGGACTTAATGGAGAGGTGGACAAATTGTTTATACCAGTAAGTAATCTCATTACCCATCAACCTAAATAATCTATTTATTTTACAAATAATGTTTATTAATCTCAACTTTTCTGCAATTAATTTTGTAGGTCGACAATGCACCGGGTCAAACGAACTGGCAAAGAACGCTATTCAGTAATCAACTAATCACAAACTACTCTCCTCTTGCAATTCTTTTTCTTATTTTAAGCAAAGTTTTGACGAGGTCTTTGGTAAATTTTGTTTTGCTTGATTAACGTGATTTGCTAATGTGTTTGGTAGATTGCATTTTTCGTAGATCCTCATCCTGACTGTGTCGTTGAATGCATCAAAACTTGTTGCAGCGAATCGTCTCCTCCGAGGTATAAACAAATTTGTTTTCTTATTATGATTTTATTTGCGTATCCTAAGATTTCGTAAAATACACACAACATAACCTAAACAAATTATTTATTATTGTCTCTAGTTTGAAACTTTTTTTAAATTTTACTTTACGAAATAATACTTGATATCTCAGTGTTATCCTTAGATATTTTTACAGTACATAACTAAAATAATAAATAATAATGAAATAGTTTAATATATCAAGAAAGTGATAATATCTTATATTTCGTTTTTTTAATATTTAAGTAGGGAATAAAATAAGCTAATTCACCCTCTTAGTAACAGTAAAGATGATTTATAAATCTTAATCTATCATTTCAAAAAATACTCACGAATTAACAAATCAAATTATCAATAGATTTTATATATAAATACTCATAAAGTTTTTTTTTAAATATATCCTTATTTAAATAAATACTTTTTTAAATTTTTATTTATTAATTAATATTTTATTAGATATATTGATAAAATTATTATATTTATATATTAAAATATCGTATTATAATTAATAGTTTAAATTTAATTGATTAATATTTATTATTTAAATTATAATAGTATAATATATTTTAATAATATAATAGAAAATGAATGAAGAAAGTAAATTATCAACCTATCTTACCTAACCTAGAAACAAAATCATATCAGATTACTGGAACAGATATAAATTTTTGTCTGTGTTTCATGCAGATTCTCTCCAATCCGCAGTGGAGACTACATGGATGAACGTTTAGCAGTGACACCAGTCTGAAATGGATTTCAAAATGCTCTATTTCCATTCATTTGTCTAAAGCTAAGATGTTAGGGGCAAACTTCCATTAATAACTCAGTTATATTCCTGTGTATTATGGTTGTAACCATCAAAAATGGACACGGTTTGAATTGTTTTATATATTTAGTATTACTATTTTTAAATATATAATTATTGAAGAAAAAAAAAAGTAGACACGACTTTCATACATTTTCAAACATGACTTATCTCATTTTTTAGTTTATACAATATTTATCTATTTTAATAATTTTTAGTCAAAAGAATATCCTTCAAGATAGAAAGGAAAGAAAAAGTGTTTTTACCAAGTTAAAAAACAGATTTAGTCCATAAACTAAAAATATTTTAAATAAAACTTAAAGTTCATTATTATAAAAGTTAATAACATTAATCATGTCATAAATAACCAAATTTTAAATGGTCTGATTTTGTTAAGAGAAAATATTATAGTCGACATTAATATCTAATCAGTAATTAGTGAAAAAAAAATCCATGAAAAAGAACAATAGAAAAAATAATAAATATCATATAAATGTGAAGGTGTCAATAAATTACCAAATAAATGTGTTAAAGATTATTATTATATTAAATGTATTAACAAACATGTGAGTAACGGACTTTGGACTTTTATTTACTACCGCCTCTTTACTATTCTTTTTAGAAAATTATCTGTTTTTTATTTGACCCTTGTATTTGACTTTTATTTTATATGAAAATTTTAAAATATTCTTAATTAATTTTTATTTATAAAATACAAATATTAAAAATTAATAATATAATTTTTTTCTTAATATGATTTGATCTTATATTGGAGATATGAATAATTAATTCTCATTCATCCGTCTTCACATAATTTATCATTATTTAAGTTCTACTTTTATTTATAAACAAAGAAATAAATAAATAAATAAAAACACATCCAATTACAAACACTAAAACTGGATCATATAGTCAACTTAAAGAACTAACACTCAATTCTTACGCTAAGAATTGTTCATGTGATGTACGCCATATTTTACAAGATAATCTCCACTACCATCACCTAACCAAAAAAATGATTAAGATCTACGTTCCAATTTCTCTTTAATATATCATGCATAGAGACAATTAAAGGTAAATCCTATTTGGTTATGAGGAAAATAAAATTAAAAAAAATATATTTAATAGATAAAAATAAGTAAAAAAAATTACATAATAAAACCTCACTATTTTTATTATTTTAACAAATATATTATCGAATTTTAAATATAATTTGAAGTCCTACTTAATATAAAAAAATTACAAATCTATTTTATTTTTTTCTTTCGACTTTTCTCGTTTTTATTTTTCGCTTTTACAAAAATGAATTACGAAATGCAAACATAAGGCAGAAAAGATTCAACCTAAGGATAAAAAAAAATGAGAGAAAGAAATTTTATGAATGTTAAAGAGGAAAAAATAGTGACAAAAATAAAATAAATCTGAAGAAAAAAGTGGTTACTAAATTAATCACATGAAAAATATTAAGAATAGATGAGAGGATAAAAAGAAAAGAAAGAGAAAATATCCAATTCCAATGTTCCAACTTCCAATTGGGCATGTAGGCCGACACAAGACTTTGGTAAAATAGTCAACTATATATATTTATTTATTTATTTATTTTTCTCCTTTGAAACCATAGTACTATAAAGACATCATAAGTACAGAACACTGAATTTAAAGCTGCCTTGTGGGTTGGAAATCAGTTGCTAGGGTTTTGGCGTGGCGAAAATGGAAGATGTCGACCACTTGGCTTTCGAGAGGAACAAGGCGCAGTTCGACGTGGGAGAGATGAAGATCGTTTGGGCAGGTTCTCGTGAAGGCTTTGAGCTTTCCGACCGGATTTCTCGCCTTGTTGCTAGCGATCCGGTGAATTCCCTTCTTCAATCTGAAAGTCCTTTTATTGAATGGTGTAGGCAACTTTATGAAAGTGATATTAATCATGCTATGTTACTCACAATTTATCAACCAAAAGAGTTGTAAATTATTGGGATCAAATATTAATAACCTCACCACAAACTCACGCATCATCTTTGAAAGACGAGAGGAGGAGAATTGAAACTACTGTATCACTCAATGTTTGATTTCAACTCATGCAAAATACATGTCTGTTCTTTATAGGCAAAGTTTATCAATAAAAAACTTAATTCTTCATGGTGAAAATGGCAGTGGACGGTGGCAGCCAAATTCAGAAACTACCGAGGCAGTGTGCAGTGAATTCATTTATTTGTGCTTAACATCTAACTAAAGGAAAACAAATTTGCATGCTAGTCGGTTAAATAATTTTTTTTTGTTAACTTGATTTAATTTTTGACAACAGTGAAAAAAAAATTATATACCTCTTGTTTGTATTAGTAATAGTAAAATAGCAGTAAATAAAAAGATAAAATGAATCAAGTTTGTCCTGTGACTTAAGATTAGATTAGTATACGCACAATTCAAAATCAACTTCCGGAAAGTTAAATTTTATTCATGTGAGAAATTAATTGATTCTACTTTCTTCCTTTGTTCCTTTGTATGTGTTTGTGAAGTTTATTTAAACAGAAATCCAGTTAAGTATTTGGTGCTATAAGCGGGTAGTTAATGTTTCACAAATTACTGTTTAACCCAGCATGTAAAGTAGCTCGCTTCTGTTTCCTTCACTTTAACTATTAGTTTGGTCATACATGGTGATCATGGCTTCTTTGAAAATCTGAAAACTAGACTGGTTTGTCTATCATTTGTAGTTGTTCAGAAAGGATGACAGAGTCATGCTTGATAGAAAGGAATTATTTAAAAACACTTTGAGAAAAGCAGCTCATGCATGGAAAAGGGTGATCGAGCTCCGTCTCAATGGTGGGTTTTCTGTTCTTGGTATTTTGCATGTTGTTGGATCTTTTATTTTTTTTCCTTTGGATTCCTGTAGTTGCCTATTACAGTAATACTTATAGTTCTCTAAATTCACAAACTGTATTCTTACAGAACAGGAAGCTTATAAGCTCAGATTCTTTGTGGATCAACCTGCATTTACGGATCTTCATTGGGTATAATTCAAACCCTTGTCCTGATTGCATTTTTATCTTCCGTGCATGTCTTACTTATCTATATAGAAGAAATATATTGATAATATACAATATATATATATATATATATATATATATATATATATATGGATGAATCATGAATGAACTCAATATTAGCTTAAGGATTTCAAAGGAGTTTGTGTGTGCGTGTGTTTGTGTTAGATCAAAGAAATATAATTGACCAGGTATTTTCGCTTTACATGGGATATATTTTGGGGAAGGGGCTAGCATTGCTTTGTGTACTAAATTTTAGTTATTTATATTCTTTTGCAGGGAATGTTTGTGCCTGCTATCCAAGGACAGGGCACTGATGAACAGCAGCAGAAGTGGTTACCTCTAGCTTATAGGATGCAAATAATTGGTTGCTATGCCCAAACTGAACTTGGTCATGGATCCAATGTTCAAGGGCTAGAAACAACTGCAACATTTGATCCCAAAACAGACGAGTTTGTTATACATAGCCCCACATTGACGTCCAGCAAAGTAAGTGATATGGGTGATGACTCCTGTGTGCCTTTACTAGTCTTTGACAATTTTAACTCCTTAATTCTAAATAAACAATTGTACCTTTCTTATGCGTTCACTGTTTGAACTTTTGTAAAGGGTATTTGGATTTATATCATGCTTCTGATATTGATTTAAACAGTGGTGGCCTGGTGGATTGGGTAAAATATCCACCCATGCTGTGGTTTATGCCCGTCTAATTACTGATGGCCAAGACCATGGAGTGCATGGTAATTGCGAAATTTAATCATCCAAATTTGTGGTGTTAGATTCAGAGGCAAATTAAGTAACTATAATTATTTGTCCAATTTGAAGGTTTCATTGTCCAGCTGCGGAGCTTGGACGATCACTTACCTCTTCGAGGCATTACTATTGGTGATATTGGAATGAAATTTGGAAATGCAGCATATAACACCATGGACAATGGAGTTCTGACATTTGACCATGTACGAATTCCAAGGAATCAGATGTTAATGAGGTATTTCCGTTTTACATATTGTCCCTTCTCTACCCTCTCCAGAGGAAAATCCAATAATCCAAGTTTATGGTTTTATGGTGTATAATGCTTAAAATATGAATTATATGTGGGGGTAAAATGACAAAAAAAAAATTAGAGCACTGAGCATTGTGTTAAAATTAGGTGAATCCAAAGGGCTATACTCTAATAATAATAACAATTCAACAAAAAGGCTTTTAGCATCATTACCTTCAGTGAACCTATTGGTGGTTCGTTGAATGTATTTTGTCCATGAATTGAGAGCATTCTTCTGTCACCTGCATTTATTTTTAAGCAGAAACAAGCTATTAAATACTCAGGACTAAACACCTTAACGGTAAAATCTTGGAACTGCAACATATTTGTTTACCATATTTCCTGTCAAATGCAATTATTAAATGTTTCCTTTTAGATTGTTTACATAGGTACTTAGATAGAAAAGAAGGTTAAGAATAGCCAACTGCCATCAGCAAAACAGAAACAGGAATATAGGATTGTGCTCATCCTGTGTTGAAACTCATCAGTACTTGTTTATTCATCTATCATGACTATTTGGGTGAATTCCACATTAATCCCCCTGAAGAGAGTGGGCCTAGGCTTTCAGCGGGACTCAAATGAAATTTATCTCATAATAGGGAATGTGTTGAAATGAATGTGTTGAATAGTTTCTATCAATGCTATTTCATGGGTTGACTGCCCTGTTCTTTTAATCTACCAGGGTTTCACAGGTTACCAGAGAAGGAAAATATGTACATTCCAATGTTCCAAGACAACTTATTTATGGTACTATGGTAAATGTGAGACAAAAAATTGTAGCTGATGCTTCAGTTGCATTGTCTCGGGCAGTCTGCATTGCTACAAGATATAGTGCTGTTCGGAGACAGTTTGGATCACATAATGGAGGACTAGAAACACAGGTAAGTGTTAAAGGCCTTGATATTGATGCATGTTGTTGCCTGTTGATAACTCTTATTTTATTGAGAAATCTCTTTTAAAAAATATTTGTAAGTATAATTTTTGAAAGCAATAAAAGGAGGCTAAAGCCAAAATTCCATACTAAATTTAAAAGTAAGCTAATTTTTTTTAATGCTAAGCTGCTTCTGGTTGTCTAATTCTGTAAGTCTTGCTTTTCAGCGACATTTTTTATTGATATGTAATGGGAAGTGAGATCAGATTCCTCTTCATCTGGTGTATTAAATTTAGTTGTATGACTCCGAATTTTGTATTTATATCTGTTAAATAGACAAAATAAAAAATGTGATTTGAATTAGTTTCATTCAAAGTTTAGTGAGCTTAAAGCATGGTTTTGTGTTTCTTTTAGGTGATTGATTACAAAACACAGCAGTCTAGGCTCTTCCCTTTGCTGGCTTCTGCATATGCTTTCAGATTTGTTGGTGAGTGGCTGGAATGGCTTTATACGGATGTGACGGAAAGATTGCAAGCTAACGATTTTTCAACATTGCCTGAGGCTCATGCATGCACTGCTGGATTGAAATCCTTGACTACAACTGCAACTGCTGTATGTTATTACTTCTGTATTTCTCTACTGATTGATCTTTAGACTTAGTCATTGAATTTAATTAATTATTAAACTACTTCATATAACACTTAAAATGTGGTTTCTGCTATGGTATCATCTGGGGAATTTTCTCCATCTTTATATGCTTTGCTGACCTATGCTGAGATTCCGTAATTGATACTGACAGATCCTCCTCCTTTTACTTTTCTCCATATGTTGAAACTCATTTTTCTTCCATTCTACGTTGTATGCCTTATACATTTCATTTATTGTTTGAAATGAGTTATTATTATGAAGACATTGATGGGTTTGACTGAACATCAATGCTAAAACCATTCAAATGAACTGTGTGCAGATCTTAAGTGCATTTGTATAAAGTTTTGAAAAAAAACGCTTTTATGATATAGTTTGTAAGAGCTTGTTGTTTCTCTAATTACATTTTTAGTTTATTTGAAAGCACTAAAATAATTCTACATCTTATCCAAACATAATTTCAGTAAAAACATATTTTTTAATTTAACAAGGTGTTTCTTTATATAAACACAAGCAAACAGGTCATTACAGTTATGACTGTTCACGCATTACAATCCTGCATCTGCTAGTTGTCAAATTCAAATAAAAACTAACACTACATAGCAGCTCGTTGAGGTTTATATATTTTGCAAGCTCAATTATACATCATATTCTGGCTTCGAATAAAAATGAGCTTAATATCCCTGAATTGCAGTACTGTAATATATTGTCATTAATGAATTATGTCATCTATGTGTGTGTGGGATCATTTACTGGATGAGTAATCCTTTCATTTAAATGGATGAAGTGTTTCTGTTGTTGTCGATGTGCTATTATCCTTATATCTTCACTATGTATGTAACACTGAACTTTTATGCTCCATTAAAGTTAAATTAACTTCAATTTGCAGGATGGAATTGAAGAATGTCGTAAACTATGTGGTGGTCATGGTTACCTTTGTAGCAGTGGTCTCCCTGAATTATTTGCTGTTTATGTTCCTGCCTGCACCTATGAAGGTGACAATACTGTGCTGCTTTTGCAGGTTTGTTAAATCTTAAATACTGTATTCTATCATTTTGTTAATCATAATTTAATTTAGTCTTTACTAAGTCCTTCCACAGCTGTTAAAAAGATTTAAGGTGCAGCACGACAACTAACCTTTTTTTTTTTTGAGAGCTAGGTTTTTGCTTGTGTTTGGCATGCATTCATACATTTTTAAAAACACCTCCATTTTGGGGCAAAGCCCTCATGTTTGTTGGTTTTGGATCCTTTAAAAAACGAAGTAATATTTTTTTTTTTCTTTTTTTTTTGTCTCAAACAAAAATTAAGATTTTGGGATTCCTAGCTTGTTAGAAAAATAAGAAAGTCCTAAAAGCATGAATTACTTGAAAATTGTGATTCTTAATTTTCCTGTCCAACTCTATGACTGTGTCTTAACTTCATGCTTAACATATGTCTACTCGTATCCTTTCTACATTTATGTGCTTCATATTACATCCCCATGCATTCTCCTTTTGAGGGTTTTCTTTAGGAATAATTAAGTTGGTTTGACAGCATCCAGAAAATTTGATGCAGGTGGCAAGGCATCTCATGAAGACTGTTTCTCAGCTGGGCACTGGAAATAAGCCCGTTGGTACTACAGCTTATATGACTCGACTGGAACAACTGATGCAATACCACTGTGATGTTAAAAAGGGTATAGTGAAAATGGAGATTATGCCTTCGCTAACCAGATTAGTTTCATGATATCAAATCAAATATGGTTTTAGTTATTATTACTAGTATTAACCATGCATGTGTCCTTTTTGGGTTGTAATTTATACTTGTCTTTATTCCCTGCAGCTGAGGATTGGCTGAAGCCTAATGTTGTGTTGCAAGCATTTGAAGTTAGGGCTGCTAGGATGTCTGTTACTTGTGCTCAAAATCTTAACAAGTTCTCTAATCCTGAAGAGGGTAAATTCTTCAATCGTCTTTTAACTTACAAGCTATATGAAATTGTTCTTGTGGCTGATTTGTTTTCTTGGTATGTGATGGTGGAGAGGAGAGTGGGGATGAGGAGTGGTTTGTGTTGACTGATCTATGTGATGCTTTTAGTAAGAAATCACATGATTACATACATGATACTGGTTTTATACCATGTTGGAAAAATAGATTGAATATGCAGTTTTATTAAAAATTGCACCTCTTTTATTTTTACAGGTGAATGTAAAAATTATATTGAGAATAGAAATGACACATTTTAAACTAACAAGTTATTTAAAGGCATAGATCATCTCAAGATGTAAATTGATTGTAACTGAATATTGATTATTTTTGTAATCTTTGCATCATGGTAGGATGTTATTTCGTAATTTGCTAATGGCTTTTCTTGAAAGCAGGTTTTCAAGAACTCGCAGCTGATTTGGTTGAGGCGGCTATTGCTCATTGCCAGCTAATTGTTGTTTCCAAGTGAGCTTCTTCCATGATTGCATCTCTAAATTTACAATTACATTGCATTTTCTTGGGAAAGAGTATGGGGTGTGGTGAATAGGAGCATCGGCGTGAAAGGGGTCCAAATAAAATAAACAACTTTTTCATTTTATAACAATAGAGTTCGTTACTGGAAACTACAATTTGCTTGAATATTCTACACTTAAGTTAATCAAACCCTGTTTTTCTTTTCAGATTTATTGAGAAGTTGCAGCAAGATATACCTGGAAAGGGAGTGAAACAGATATTACAAGTTCTATGCAGCGTTTATGCTTTGTTTCTACTTCATAAGCATCTGGGTGATTTCATATCCACTGGCTGCATTGACCCAAAACAAGGATCACTTGCCGGTGAGCAACTGAGAAACTTGTATTCACAGGTTTGTCCTCAACTATTCAATAGCATCTTGTGGTGCTCATGATTTAATCAATTATATGAAGACTTATTGATTATTTGCTTTATGGTTAGGTTCGTCCTAATGCAATTGCTCTTGTCGATGCATATAATTACACCGATCACTTCCTTGGTTCAATTCTTGGACGTTACGATGGAAATGTGTATCCCAAGTTGTACGAGGAGGCGTGGAAGGATCCTTTGAATGATTCAGTTGTTCCTGATGGCTTTAAAGAGTATATTCAACCAATGCTTAAGCAACAACTGCGTAATGCTAGACTCTAGGTATTTTCCCAACATGATGTTCTTCCCATCTAAGGAATAGACACTATTCTGATTTATAGGTGTCAATAAAGTTATATGGAACGATGAATAAAATTGGAAGTTCATTCATTTACATCGCTAGTGGGTGTATCTGGAACTGGTAAAACTCATTTATTTATTACATTAACGACACTTAATGTCCAATTTCGTGTCTGTCATTTTTCTTGCGTCGTGTGTATTTCTAGTTCCAGGTGTTATGTTTATAGTTGTGGGTTACGAATTTAGGAACGTTAGCTTATGTTCTTTAACGTGTGTATCCTAAATCCGTCATACATTGTTATTGTATGTATTATTTATTAGAACTAACTTTTCACATGATAAAAATATGGTATTAAATGATTCAACAATGGAATTAATTATAGAAGTTTGACACTACTCAACAAATGAGACTATTATAGGAGGTGATAGTGTACAATTAGTGGATACTTAATTACTAATTTTTCTTGCTTCTACATAAGCAACAAGGTTATTGTTTGTGCATACGTATACAATTTCTTTACTATAATTTCTTATAGTCCCACCAATTTATTTCCTTGTTCCAAAAAAGTCCATTTTTCCTGTGACAAAAAAAACACGTGGGATACTGAAGATGAAATAAAATGACTTTTTTTTTTTTTTGAAAGTGAAATAAAATGACCTCTAGCGGTTCGGATTAATATTTTTGGCTATTTTTTGGTTCTCCATTTTTAATATGGACGATTAATGAGGATAAAGACAGGAACATGGACTGAGTGACACACCTAATGTTTGGACGTAAACATCAATGAAGATACAAAGATATTTTTCTTTATGCATAAAAATACCACACCTTTAATTTGCACCGAAGTGTCAAAGTTACAACTTTTGTTGGATACTTTATTTGAATAACCTTCCAATCTTATGACATAATGACTAATGTTAGCTTTTTAGAAAAAATTCAAATTAACTATTTTTTTTTCAATTAACAACTAATTATTTTATTTTTAACTTGTTTCTAAATCATTTTATGCCTCAAAAAATGTATTTAATGCGAAAATCGTGAGGTTATTTTAATAACTTTGTTCTAAACAATAATATTTTTTTGTTTTTTTAATCTCTGTGAAAAGTTATTAAATCATAACATAACAATCATAACTTTAATTTACGATAAAATTAAATATTACAGCTTGTGGTTCGTATAAACTGTGAAAAGTGATTCTAGAACATAAATCTTTAAGATATGAGTGTACTGATAAAGAATCAAGACTAAGTGAACAATAATATATTTTAACGCTTAAATTAGCAAAGATCTTGGTTGAAAGTAAAATTGTGATAACCATGAGTTTAAAATCGGATTAGATTTGGGTCCAGCCTGTAAAACCTTTATTACAAATTTCATTTTTACGGAAAAAAAAAAATCAAATTTTTGCTGTTGTTGGTGTGCGAGGGTAATATGCAATGATTTTTGTTTGGTACAGAAAAATGCAAAAAAGAAAAAGCCAAAATTGCAACTATTTTTCTTTTAGAAGAAGAGGACCCATTTCTTAACGTGGAAAATATGCAAGTAGCTATTTGAAGGCACCTAAAAGCATTCACTCCAGAACTTCTCAATCCCAAATGGAAGAGAAGAAGAAAAACGAAGCCCGAGAGGCAAAGAAGAAGAAAAGGGAGAGTGATACGAAGCAACCAACGTATCGCGGTGTACGCATGCGCCACTGGGGAAAATGGGTTTCAGAAATAAGAGAGCCCAGAAAAAAGTCCAGAATCTGGCTCGGCACTTTTCCCACGCCAGAAATGGCGGCCCGAGCCCACGATGTGGCGGCTCTCACTATCAAAGGCACTTCCGCTTTCCTTAACTTCCCCGAACTAGCCTCACACCTTCCACGCCCGCCCACCACTTCCCCTAAGGATATCCAAGCCGCCGCCGCCGAAGCTGCTGCACTAAATTGCGAGGCCAAGGCCCAAGCCCAAACCCAAACCCATATGAGCTGCTCAATGTACTCCTTGTTAAACGATGGCGATGACGCGTTCTTGGACCTCCCTGATCTTTTAGTTGACTCAAGTCAGAGTGCAGGTGGGTTTCGTTACTCCGCGCCGTGGCTCGTTGCCGGAGCTGAACATCTCGACTCGGCTTTTCGGCTCGATGACCCTCCTTTTCCCTGGAACTCTTCACCTTAAAAATATGGAGTTCCATTTTTATTCAATTTTTAACCTTCTCTTATATATTTACTTGCATGTTCTTTTCATAATGTTTTACAACTTTTTCTACTAAAAATTAGTTAACCTCATGTAAATTCTTTTGATATATTTATAAATATTTTACAATTTATTTTATAATAATTAAAGATATAATTAAATTATAAGATGAAAATTTTGTCTTTCAAATTAATTTTATTCGATGTAACGAAATCGATGATCAGAAAAATTTAGTTACTTATCGATGACTAGAATCAGTAACCAAATTATTATTTTTTAGTCTAATAGCTGAAATAGTAACTGAATTTTCGGTCACATAAAATCGATTCATTATTTCGAGTCACTTTATTATTTAATTTATTTTTTTAATTAATCTATATTTAATTTATGTAATTATTTTTGTTTTTTCGTGGTAATTTTTTATTTTTTTTGCGTCGTAGGATCTGACCTACGTACGAAAATTTCATCTTCGCGCCCCAAATTTTCTTCATCTTCTTCGCGTAACCCAAATTTCATCTTTGAGCTTAACCTAGACCCTTCATTTGTCCATCCCCAAGCGAATTCCAAACTCAACCCCAGCCTCAACCTCGACGAACTCGACGAACTTGAGGCCCAACCCATCTCCGGCAGCATCGAACCCTAATCTGAAGCCAAACTCCAGTCGTCGTGCGGTCAAACCCAACGCAAACCCAGCTGACCTCGAACCCTAACCCAAACCTCAACCACCTTGAATCCAAGCGACCTGCAACTGTGGCGACAATTAAAACGATGTGCAGAAATTGTTTTAATCGATTGAAACGAGATTTAATCGATTAAAAGAGTTCTGATCGGTCATAATTGCATTCTGACCGATCATAATTGAAACCATATAATAGCGGTTTCACTTTGACCGCTATCTAAGTGAGCTTTTAAGAGCGGTTCCTGTGTAACTGCTATCTAAAATGTCTTTCGCTTGAGCGATAATCTTCTCGCTCGAGCGAAACGCCCCCTGCACAAAATTGGCATTCTCGGGTTGTATTTCGCTTGAGCGACTCTAATCTCGCTCGAGCGATGGTGCAACCGCTATTAGAAGTGCTCTTTTAAGAGCGGTTCAAGTGAAACCGCTATCATATACAACTAGATTTTTTATTCTAATCGATTAGATTTTTGAAATGATCGATCATATTTGATAATTTTTTCAAATAATTAAGTATAATCGATTAGTTTTCTAAATTATTGATTAGAATTGATTAGTTTTTCAAATAATAGATTAGAATTGATTAATTTCTGAAATATATACTAAAAAATTATAATTAAAACTATAAATTAGTTAAGAATATTGACTAATGTAAACATAAAGTAGAACATGGGAGAAGATGAGGATGATAATATAATCATAGAACTTACAAAAATGTAGAATTGAGAAGTTTGAATTACACTTTTAATAAATTTAAGATAATACTAGTTTTGATTTTTATTTTTAAATATTTATTTTAATTATTTCAAACAGAGAAACTATAATTTTAGTTTCTAGCTACTTGAATTTAAAGAATTAAATTTGTTATTATTTAATCTTTTAATTTTAGTATTAAAATTTTAAATTATATTTTTCTACTTTGAGAATGAACAATATAATTAAACTCAAAATTGACAATATTATAATACATTTTTGAACTCTTTTGTATTAATTTTTTTTCCTAATTTTTTATAAAGTTAATTTTAATATTTAAAAGTATTTAACATTTTGATATAATGAGCATGATATAATATAATGATAGAATTTACAAAAATGTAGAATTGAGAATTTTTAAATCTTTTTCTAATATTTATTTTTAAAAATATAATATTATTTTTAAAATTTAATATTTTTTTTTCAAATATATAAATATATAAAGATATAAATGTATAAGGATATAAATAAATATATAAATATATCAAAATATAAATATATAAATATAAGTTTCTTGTAAAACTTTTCAAGTTATTTTAACTGATAAAAATAAGTTTTAATCGATTAAAAGCAGCTGCAGAAATTGTTTTAATCGATTGAAACGGGATTTAATCGATTAAAGAGTTCTGATCGGTCATAATTGCATTCTGATCGATCATAATTGAAATCATATAATAGCGGTTTCACTTTAACCGCTATCTAAGTGAGCTTTTAAGAGCGGTTCCTGTGTAACCGCTATCTAAAATGTATTTCGCTTGAGCGATACTCTTCTCGCTCAAGCGAAACGCCCCCTGTACAAAATTGGCATTCTCGGGTTGTATTTTGCTTGAGCGACTATAATCTCGCTCGAGCGATGGTTCAACCGCTATTAGAATTGCTCTTTTAAGAGCGGTTCCAGTGAAACCACTATCATATACAACCAGATTTTTTATTCTAATCGATTAGATTTTTGAAATGATCGATCATATTTGATAATTTTTTCAAATAATTAAGTATAATCGATTAGTTTTCTAAATTATTGATTAGAATTGATTAGTTTTTCAAATAATAGATTAGAATTGATTAATTTCTGAAATATATACTAAAAAATTATAATTAAAACTATAAATTAGTTAAGAATATTGACTAATGTAAACATAAAGTAGAACATGGGAGGAGATGAGGATGATAATATAATCATAGAACTTACAAAAATGTAGAATTGAGAAGTTTGAATTACACTTTTAATAAATTTAAGATAATACTAGTTTTGATTTTTATTTTTAAATATTTATTTTAATTATTTCAAACAGAGAAACTATAATTTTAGTTTCTAGCTACTTGAATTTAAATAATTAAATTTATTATTATTTAATCTTTTAATTTTAGTATTAAAATTTTAAATTATATTTTTCTACTTTGAGAATGAACAATATAATTAAATTCAAAATTGACAATATTATAATACATTTTTGAACTCTTTTGCATTAATTTTTTTTCCTAATTTTTTATAAAGTTAATTTTAATATTTAAAAGTATTTAACATTTTTATATAATGAGCATGATATAATATAATGATAGAATTTACAAAAATGTAGAATTGAGAATTTTTAAATCTTTTTCTAATATTTATTTTTAAAAATATAATATTTTTTTTAAAATTTAATATTTTTTTTTCAAATATATAAATATATAAAGATATAAATGTATAAGGATATAAATAAATATATAAATATATCAAAATATAAATATATAAATATAAGTTTCTTGTAAAACTTTTCAAGTTATTTTAACTGATAAAAATAAGTTTTAATCTAATAAAACGCTGTGCAGAAATTGTTTTAATCGATTGAAACGGGATTTAATCGATTAAAAGAGTTCTCATCGGTCATAATTGCATTCTGATCGATCATAATTGAAACCATATAATAGCAGTTTCACTTTAACCGCTATCTAAGTGAGTTTTTAAGAGCGGTTCCTGTGTAACCGCTATCTAAAATGTATTTCGCTTGAGCGATACTCTTCTCGCTCAAGCGAAACGCCCCCTGCACAAAATTGGCATTCTCGGGTTGTAGTTCGCTTGAGCGACTATAATCTCGCTCGAGCGATGGTTCAACCGCTATTAGAAGTGCTCTTTTAAGAGCGGTTCCAGTGAAACCACTATCATATACAACCAGATTTTTTGATTCTGATCGATTAGATTTTTGAAATGATCGATCATATTTGATAATTTTTTCAAATAATTAAGTATAATCGATTAGTTTTCTAAATTATTGATTAGAATTGATTAGTTTTTCAAATAATAGATTAGAATTGATTAATTTCTGAAATATATACTAAAAAATTATAATTAAAACTATAAATTAGTTAAGAATATTGACTAATGTAAACATAAAGTAGAACATGGGAGAAGATGAGGATGATAATATAATCATAGAACTTACAAAAATGTAGAATTGAGAAGTTTGAATTACACTTTTAATAAATTTAAGATAATACTAGTTTTGATTTTTATTTTTAAATATTTATTTTAATTATTTCAAACAGAGAAACTATAATTTTAGTTTCTAGCTACTTGAATTTAAAGAATTAAATTTGTTATTATTTAATCTTTTAATTTTAGTATTAAAATTTTAAATTATATTTTTCTACTTTGAGAATGAACAATATAATTAAACTCAAAATTGACAATATTATAATACATTTTTGAACTCTTTTGTATTAATTTTTTTTTCCTAATTTTTTATAAAGTTAATTTTAATATTTAAAAGTATTTAACATTTTGATATAATGAGCATGATATAATATAATGATAGAATTTACAAAAATGTAGAATTGAGAATTTTTAAATCTTTTTCTAATATTTATTTTTAAAAATATAATATTATTTTTAAAATTTAATATTTTTTTTTCAAATATATAAATATATAAAGATATAAATGTATAAGGATATAAATAAATATATAAATATATCAAAATATAAATATATAAATATAAGTTTCTTGTAAAACTTTTCAAGTTATTTTAACTGATAAAAATAAGTTTTAATCGATTAAAACGTCATGCAGAAATTGTTTTAATCGATTGAAACGAGATTTAATCGATTAAAGAGTTCTGATCGGTCATAATTGCATTCTGATCGATCATAATTGAAATCATATAATAGCGGTTTCACTTTAACCGCTTATCTAAGTGAGCTTTTAAGAGCGGTTCCTGTGTAACCGCTTATCTAAAATGTATTTCGCTTGAGCGATACTCTTCTCGCTCAAGCGAAACGCCCCTGTACAAAATTGGCATTCTCGGGTTGTATTTCGCTTGAGCGACTATAATCTCGCTCGAGCGATGGTTCAACCGCTATTAGAATTGCTCTTTTAAGAGCGGTTCCAAGTGAAACCACTATCATATACAACCAGATTTTTTTATTCTGATCGATTAGATTTTTGAAATGATCGATCATATTTGATAATTTTTTCAAATAATTAAGTATAATCGATTAGTTTTCTAAATTATTGATTAGAATTGATTAGTTTTTCAAATAATAGATTAGAATTGATTAATTTCTGAAATATATACT